TTTGCTCAACTTGGCAATAATGACAAGAAATTTGAAGAAATCATGTGGATATCAGGTAACAGGATTTTAAAACAAGGTACAGCTTTGGAATCATTATAAAAAAATGTTAGTTGTCCGTTCATCGTGTGGTGACGACCAGCATTTACTGTTACCACCCCTATTCTTCTCGTGGGTGTAATATACCCGACTAAGAGACTGCATATTAGACAGAGACCGTGCAGCAGCGCTCTCTGATAACCCTGAACCTTGTACACTGCGACCTCCAACCCGCCTGCCTGCGGAGATTGTGACAAACCCTCTTATGTAGAGGAGACTCATAGTGCAGCAGTGGACATTTTGCTGTAGGCTTGATGATGATGATGATAATGTTCCAGGGGTACTACAGGACCATACAATAATCACCGGAGCGATGCGTGCGCACGTGAGCGAATATTACGCCAATAAGGCCTATATAGCCAAGGAGCTATGCCTGCAGATGTTCAGACCCGCTTTTAAGTGAGAATTACTTAGTTTTTACTTATTTATACGTTCTCTTCTTAACAGCAAAGAATCTAAGGGTCGATTGTAAAGTTGAACAAAGTATCTGTACATAACATACATACGCCTTTTATCCCCGAAAGGGTAGACAGAGGTGCACACAGAAGTAACACCCACTTTTCACTATTTATGTTATGAGTCCCATGTAATATAGGGGGAGAGCCTATTGCCATATACCGGGCGCATTTCCAGCAGAACCTAACGGGTAACCGGGGCTCCGGCTCGACGTGCAGGAGAAGGAACGGGGTGGTTTTTAGTCAGTAAGAGTCTGACACTCCCTTCCGCCTCACCCAGGCGGGAGCAGTCATTCGATGATTTTCCCCCCTTAAAAAAAAAAAAAGACTCTGTGCTACCACGGAGATTTAAAAAAAAACATGTGATAATTTCCCTGACCTGGGAATCGAACCTGAGACCCCTTGCCCGGTAGTCGCACTTGTGACCACTCGGCCAACGAGGCAGTCGACGTCGTTCATGGATAAACGCAGCACTAGAGGTTTTACAAGTGCGGTACTGGTCTTTTGGTATAGGATGTTGAGGATTGGAGAGATTGTGGCAAGGGGTGATTCGGCCTCCGGTAATATCACTCACACGACGAAACATTGTTTCATGTCGGTTTTCTGCTCAGCCGTTATATAACTCCGGTCGAGTTGACCCATTCGTGCCGAAGCATGGCTCTCCCACATTTTCGTTTACAAAATGACCTGACCATGACCTGACCATAGCACAGAGACTGGAATTGGCTAGTTTCCTAGGTTTAAAATAAATTGTTTCAACTTTTCAATGCAATTTAAATAATCATACTCTCATCGTTTGATTTGACAATTTAGCTAGTATTGGATTTTTTCTAAGGAAATAAGTATGTTATTTGACGCAGAAATATGATGACGTCACAAGTTGCGATCCAATACAAAATTCATAGAAAAGTATCGTTTTTGACATTTCAATAAAAGTATTGAATTTGACTACCTGTCAACTACTGCAGCATACAGCACAATATGTTCTCTTTTTACATAGGAAGGACTCGAATTAAGGATCATTTTGTCACTAATCGCTTGATAACCACTTTGCCCACTAGTCCTTGTTTAATTTATCTTTCACTAGCGACCCGCCCCGGCTTCGCACGGGTCCAATTAGAAACCGCTAAATTTATCAGTGTTTCTCTACGATATTACGCATGTATTATACATATAAACCTTCCTTAAGAATCACTCTATCTACCTATTAAAAAAAACCGCATCAAAATCCGTTGCGTAGTTTTAAAAATCTAAGCATACATAGGGACAGACAGACGGCGGATAGCGACTTTGTTTTATACTATGTAATGATTTAATATTTCAGTATTCTACGTAATTCATCGAGCAAAATGATATACTACGCTTGTCAATTCAATATATCTTCCTGTTGGACCCTTGAAGGAGACAGATTCTTCGTAAGTATATCAAATTAATTAGCTCATGACGATACCTAAGAGCGTATCGCCTGGACAGTCCACGCTACCATCAGTTGACTGGACAATCTATACACTACATGAGTCACTGTTTACATGTTACCATTAGCTCGTGACGATACCTAAGTATGTATCGCCTGGACAGTCCACGCTACCATCAGTTGACTGGACAATCTCTACACTACATGAGTCACTGTTTACATGTTACCATTAGCTCATGACGATACCTAAGTACGTATCGCCTGGACAGTCCACGCTACCATCAGTTGACTGGGCAATCTCTACACTACACGAGTCACTGTTTACATGTTACCATTAGCTCATGACGATACCTAAGTACGTATCGCCTGGACAGTCCACGCTACCATCAGTTGACTGGATAATCTCTACCCTACATGAGTCACTGTTTACATGTTACCATTAGCTCATGACGATACCTAAGTACGTATCGCCTGGACAGTCCACGCTACCATCAGTTGACTGGACAATCTGTACACTACATGAGTCACTGTTTACATGTTACCATTAGCTCATGACGATACCTAAGTACGTATCGCCTGGACAGTCCACGCTACCATCAGTTGACTGGACAATCTCTACACTACATGAGTCACTGTTTACATGTTACCGTTAGCTCATGACGATACCTAAATACGTATCGGCTGGACAGTCCACGCTACCATCAGTTGACTGGACAATCTGTATACTACATGAGTCACTGTTTATGTTTTGTTTTTCAGATCGTGGTATATAATCCCTTGGCTTGGTCAGTCACTTTGCCAGTCAGGCTACCTGTTGCAAGAGGAATCTACAAGGTTTATGATCCAAAAGGTTACTATTCTAATATACTTACTCTTTCTCTAGAATTGGCATAAGGAGAGACATCAGTCTCAATTCGCGGAGAACTTAACGGGTAACCGGGGCTCCGGCTCGACGTGCAGGAGAAGGAACGGGGTGGTTTTTAGTCAGTAAGAGTCTGACACTCCCTCCCGCCTCACCCAGGCGGGAGCAGTCATTCGATGATTTTTCCCCCATAAAAAAAAAAAGCCTGATCATAGTGATTTGTAAACCATTAAGTACGTAGGTCACTACAAAAGTTTTGTCGTACTCCGTGAAATATTATTTTTTTTCGAAGTATTCTCCATTGGCACTTAGGCAGGTCTTCATACGTGCAAACCACGTATCAAAGATGTCGCTCCAGAATCCTTCCTGCACACTGCTGCATATCTCCTCAAAAGCACCTAAAAGTTGGTCATCATTAGTAAACTTGCGGCCTTTTAGTTGCTTTTTTACATATGGGAACAGGCCAAAATCACACGGTGCTAAGTCTGGGCTATAAGGAGGGTGTCCCAGTAATTTGATCCCAGTTTGACTCAGATAGTCCACAGTTTTGCCGGCTCGATGCGCGGGAGCGTTATCATGATGCAAGAACCAAGTGTCGAGTCTTGAGTTTGGACGTTCATTTTTCAAAGATTCTAAAACTTGAGGTAAACATTTTTCAGTGTACCAGGCAGCTGTCACAGTCTTCTGTTTATCAAGCACAATTATTGATAAAATACCTCTTCTGGAGAAAAATACGGCTACCATTCTTTTTTTGACTGACCGGGACATTTTAACGGACGTCGGAGGATCTTCGTCTTCAAACACCCACACTTTACTCTGGGATTTAGTTGGAACGTCGAAATAATACAGCCAGGTTTCGTCACCAGTGATAATTGAATTCACATAGTTAGATTTGCCGTCATTGAATTTTTTTAACATTTCTTTACACCATTTGACGCGCTGTTCCCTAATCGCATCAGTTAGCAAATGTGGTACCCAAAGTGAACAAAGCTTTCGTACTCCTAAGTTTTCATGAAGATTTCGATGAATAGTTGGTGCACTTAAATTGAGTGTTTCCTCGATCTGACGGTATGTTACATGGCGATCTCCTTCAATCACTTTTCGCACAGCCACAATATTCTTATCAGTGGTTGCGTCAATCGGCCTGCCCGGTCTTGAATCGTCTTCTAAATTAAAATTGCCGCGATTGAATTGTAAAAACCATCTTTCTATAGTCCTAAGGGATGGACAATTATCACCCAACACACCACTCATTTCTTCGAAGCATTGTTGTTTTGATAATCCACGCTTAAAGTTATACAAAATTATCACCCGAACGTCACGACGATTTAAATCTGACATATCCAATTGTTAAAAAATTCACTAAAAAAATACTAAGCTAGTTACTCCAACGAAACTTATGCAAAATATGTTGACATTAGTTGATGTATTAGAATCTACCCTCAGTTGAATTATAACTATTAACTATTTGTCATACGACAAAACTTTTGTAGTGACCTACGTATATAACGCATGTTGTGCTTACCTATAATAGATTGATGCACTAGTATTTAAGTTTTCGTAAATGTAACCCTATATTGTATAAGTGTAATCAATTGTTGGTGAGCCAAATCAATAAAATAAAATAAAAGATCTAAGCATACATAGATATAGCGACTTTGTTTTATACTAGTGTAGTGATAAAAATCTTTATATCGATCTTTTTTACGTTGTTATCTCAATTCCAGGTGTACAACAAAACCATTCCCTGTAACACTCCCCGAACTAGTGATGGCTCTCCCAGACGAGGAGACTTTTTAACCGAAGATGAATTAGTATTCATAGCAACCAAAGTACCACCGCTAGGCTACAAATCCTATACATAGAGCGAGTGCAATTACGTACAAGAACGAGACGATCGATTCTTAAGCGAATATTTAATCAAGACCCCACAACTAAGAAAACATTCACAAGGGAGACGAATTTTTTGAAACACGACGGTAAATATATTATCGACGATTTACCGGAGTATGAGTACTTTGAAGATGCTACTGAGAAGGGGCATGATAAAGTCCCTGTAGCGAACGCGGCGAGGGCCAAATATTTAGAGTTTTATAGTGATTATATCGGTACTGAACCTCCGGCCACTAACGAGACGGAAGAAGATGACACTGCTGAATCGAAGAAGGTTTCAATGCAAAGCAGTTATGTTCCATTGCGTTCTAATATGTAAGTAATATTACCGTTGTTTTTACATATATAACGTCACGACGGCAGAGATTATGGAACAACAATTGCTTACGCTTTATCAACAGTCATCAATCTTATTTAATTATTGTGTTTTTCGGCTTACTCACGTAATAATTTGACGAGGAACTCGACTAGTTTCAAGCCATGCTAGAGGTCATATTCATGAGCAGCATTCCGCGACCCGCACGCGGCGACTGTCGCGCTGCTACTAATAATACCGTCGTTTTTACATATACATATGTACATATATAACCTCACACCGGCAGAGATTATGGAACACCAATTACTTACGCTTTATTAACAGTCATCAATGTTATTTCATTACTAGCTACTTCTGCGCGGTTTCACACGCTCTGCTCAGCTCCTATTGGTCTTAGCGTGATGTTCTATAGCCTATAGCCATCCTCGATAAATGCGCTATCCAACACAAAAAGAATTATTCAAATCAGACTTGTAGTTACGGAGATTAGCGCGTTCAAACAAACAAACAAATGAAACAAACTCTTCCGCTTTATATTATAGTACTAGCTATTTCCGCGCGGTTTCACACGCTCTGCTCAGCTCCTATTGGTCTTAGCGTGATGTTTTATAGCCTATAGCCATTCTCGATAAATGCGCTATACAACACAAAAAGAATTATTCAAATCAGACTTGTAGTTACGGAGATTAGCGCGTTCAAACAAACAAACAAATGAAACAAACTCTTCCGCTTTATATAATAGTACTAGCTATTTCCGCGCGGTTTCACACGCTCTGCTCAGCTCCTATTGGTCGTAGCGTGATGTTTTATAGACTATTGCCATCCTCGATAAATGCGCTATCCAACACAAAAGAATTATTCAAATCAGACTTGTAGTTACGGAGATTAGCGCGTTCAAACAAACAAACAAAAAAACAAACTCTTGCGCTTTATATAATAGTATAAGATTATGTTTTTCGGTCTACTCACGTAATTGTTTGACGAGGAACTAGTTAAGGGTTCCCACCCTACAGATGCATGATATGTTTTGTTAGCACTAATTCAGCTTAGCAATATAATTAGTATATGGCGCAAGTGCGACTGGTGGTCAAACGGTCTCGGGTTCGATTTCCGGGTCAGGCAAAGTATTACTGGGTTTTTAAAAATCTCAGTAGTAGCACGGAGTCTGGAAATGTGCCCGGCATATGGCAATAGGCTCACCCCCTATTACATGGGACTCATAACAGAAATAGTGAAAAGTGGGTGTATATTAGTATATATTGTACAGTGGTATTAAATGCCGTAATATGCACCTCTGCCTACCCCTTTGGGGATTAAAGGCGTGATGTTATGTATGTAAACTAGCTGTTGCCCGCGACTTTGTCCGCGTAGATTAATGACTTCTGACAGAATCAATTCAGTGCCCAAGTAAGATTTACCTATTTTGAAATGATTTATCGTAGTTTCAATAAATAAATAATCCCGCAGGGATCTTACCAGTACAGTGCCCGATCACGTAATGTTTGAGTAATAAAAACTATTCTATCGACTATTGTTGTACCGAATCTCTCTAAAATAAGTTCAGTGGTTAAGAGTTAGACAGTCCCGGGGCATTGACGCATAGTTCCCGTTCCCGTGGGACATCTGTGATAAAAACTATCAAACGTTACCCAGGTCCCAAATCATCGTTTTACCGAATGTAATTCAAAAAGATTCAATGATTCTAAATTCAATGGCTAAGAAGATTTATACAAACTCTCATTCCCTATTTTATCCCCTTAGGGGTGGAATTTATCAAAATCCTTTCTAAGGAGATACCTATGTCATAGTAACTTTATGCATGCAAAGTCTCAGCCCGATCAATTTAAAACTGGCAAAGTATCATACTTTGGGGTGAGAATGTTCAAAAACCTTTCTAAAGGGACGTTTACGTCGTCGTCATAATATCCATCTACACGCCGAATTTCAACCCGATCGGTGTAAAACTGACAAAGCTTCATAGGTACAAACTTTCACCCCCTATTTTACCCCCTTAGGGGTGGAAATGATCAAAATGCTTTCTTAGCGGATGCTTATGTATATGATAACATCTATCTGCATGTCAAATTTCAATTCGATCGATTTAAAACTGACAAAGGCTCATACAAACTTTCATCCCCTATTTTACCCCCTTGGGGTGGAAATTATCAAAATCCTTTCACAGCCGATTACTACGTCATAACATCTATCTGCATGCCAAATTTCAACCCGATCGGTTTAAAACTGACAAAGTCCCATACAAACATTCATCCCCTATTTTACCCCCTTGGGGGTGGAAATTATCAAAATCCTTTCACAGCGGATGCCTACGTCATAACATCTATCTGCCCAAATTTCAACCCGATCGGTCTCCCGCGCTGCTGTAGTGCGTCTGCGATGTTTGCGCACGCGCACACTGACGGCTTTCACGCGGTGCTACGGCGCCGCATCGCCTCGCTGATGTTCCGTACGCGTGGGAGCGCCAACACCATCTTGAGCGAGCTCAGCCAAAAACTGGATAGCCCCCTTATGAGGCACTGGGTTCAAACTCAAGTGTGCGTGACCGGTGCCTCAAACGGAGGCAAATACTTAAGTTAATTCTATTGTTAAAAAAATTAAATAATTTGGCCTTTTTTCATTTCTTCTTTATATTTGTTGATGTAATGATATTTTTTACCTAAATTGACATTAATTAAATTGACAATATACTAATTTGAATGATTGATAATGCGGTGTTATAATGTAATAAATTAAATTAATTAAGAATATATATATTGAATAATAATAAACTGTAAATGTATGGACCCAATATGTCTGAAATAAATTTATTTTATTTATTTTATTTATTTATTTTTAAAACTGACAAAGTCTCATACAAACTTTCATCCCCTATTTTACCCTCTTGGGGGTGGAAATTATCAAAATCCTTTCACAGCGGATGCTTACGTCATAACATCTATCTGCATGCCAAATTTAAACCCGATCGGTTTAAAACTGACAAAATTTCATACAAACTTTCATCCCCTTTTTTACCCCCTTGGAGGTGGAAATTATCAAAATCCTTTCTTAGCGGATGCCTACGTCATAACATCTATCTGTATTCCATATTTTAGCCCAATCTATCCAGCGGTTTGGGCTGTGCGTTGATAGATCACTATGTCAGTCAGTCAGTCAGTCAGTCAATCACCTTTGAATTATATATATAGATCTACGATATAAAAATAAGTCGGGTATTCCTTCCTGACGCTATAACTTCTTTTGGAAAGGTCGCGGGCTCCATGAGGTTTAAAGCAAAAAAAAATCAGGAAAAAAATGTTTTTCTTCATCGTTTAATCACCAAACGGAATGTTACATAATAAATAAATTAATCCTTACTAATATCCTTACTAATATTATAAATCGTAAAGTGAGTTTGTTTGTTTGTTCCACTTTCACGACGTAACTACTAAACCCATTGCTTTAGTTTTTTGCCGACGTGAATTTAGAAGTCTGGATTAAATAATAGGGTACTTTTTATCCCGGAAAAATTTGATATTCTCGAGAGAAAACGAAATTATTAGTATAGATGGCGCTGTGTGTATTGGTATATATCACATAGTCTACTTTTTATCCTTTTGTGACGCGAGCGAAGCCGTGGGTAAAAGCTAGTAAATAATAACATCGTACATTTCAGGTTTACAATACCAACATCGTCCACCACAACAGAACGGACGACTACGACATCAACTACCATCTCGACCACAACCAGTTCAAGCACAGAAGTATCATCGGAACCTGTTATAACCACAAGGAGATTTGAACCTTATAACCTTCTCAGTACCACCTTCGAACCGATAGAGTACTATGATGATGAGCCAAGTGAGACAACAACGCCCCAAGTCGTAGAAAGCACGGCCCCATTTTTCGATTTCGAAAAGTTTTATCGAAGGATGGAGAAGTCTGGGTACCATAGCATGGAGTCCAGTGACGGTTTTATACAGAATGAGGTTGGTTATATATTTTTTTTTATTACCTGCCTCGTTGGCCGAGTGGTCGTAAGCGCGACCGCCGGGCAAGGGGTCTCGGGTTCGATCCCCGGGTCGGCCAAAGTATTACTGGGGTTTTTGAAAAATCTCAGTAGTAGCACGGAGTCTGGAATTGTGCCCGGTATATGGCAATAGGCTCACCCCCTATTACATGGGACTCATAACATAAATAGTGAAAAGTGGGTGTTACATTATACAGTGGCATAATGTGCACCTCTGCCTACCCCTTCGGGGATAAAAGGCGTGATTTTATGTATGTTTTTTTAATTACCGGAGGCCCAGCTCCCTCCCCCCTTCCCCAATCTCCCCTATTCCCGAATCCCCAACAATCCTCACACTCCTAATTCCCAAAAAAACGTTGCCCCACACTAGGATTATCTCCTGTGTCGTGGGTGCGTTTACAAACATACAAGTTCACATACACATGACACACAGACCCGGAACAACAATTTGTGGATCACACTAAATGTTTGTACGTGCGGGAATCGAACCACGGCAACCGGTTGCCCAGCCACCGCACCAACCGTTGTCCCGTACTAGGATTTTCTCCTGTGTTGTGAGTGCGTTTACAAACATATAATTTCATTTACACTGGATACCCAGACCTGGATGCTTACTCTTGATGTCAATGCAATTTCAATCCAATAAAATCTGAATAATTATTCAATGTCAACACTATACAACCACAATTGTAGCTGTTACAATAGCATTCAGAGTACGGAATATAAAGACAAACTCAATATCATTTAGTTCATTCAATATCCGCGCAATACGGATGCAATGGGCGCTAGTGTTGCCACTCAAGAGTACGACACAATATCAATGTCGATCGATCGGAATTGGATTCAAGAGTAAGCCCCCTGGAATAACAATCTGTGGATCGCACAAAGAGCTGTCCTGTGCTGGAACAGCAGTCAGTTGCCCAGACCTTCTGCATACAGTCAAAATTATAAATATTGTTTTTAATATTACTTTAAACTACTTACTTTAGACCGCGAGGACACCGCTGACCGCAACACATAACATAACAGGTAGGCAGAGGTGCACATTTCGGCACTTAATGCCACTGTACAATGTAACACCCACTTTTCACTATTTATTTTATGAGTCCCATGTAATAGGGGGTGAGCCTATTGCCATATTGCGCAAATTAAAATTAATATTATTATTTTGTTTATTAGATTTTTTTTTTATTGTTTATTCAAAATTCTGTATGTATTGTATGTATTCTGTAGATGTATTTTTATTTTTTTATATTCTTTGTTTTCTGTGCGTGTAATTGCCAAATAAATGATTTTTCTTTCTTTCTTTCTTTCTTTCATATACCGGGCACATTTCCAGACTCAGTGCCACAACTGAGATTTTTAAAAAAACAGTAATACTTTGCCCGACCCGGGAATCGAACTCGAGACCCCTTGCCCGGCAGTCGCACTTGCGACCACTCGGCCAACGAGGCAGTCTATAATGTTAATAATGACGGTACTCCTTTGAGTACCGTCATTATTGTCCCGTTGAATCAAACAAAAGTCCTTTTGCTTAGCAATCGCACCGGCGATCATAGAAATCGCCTATACTTACACAAATTCATGAACATCAATATACCGAACACTTTACCTTAATGTCGTGGTGACCCGGAGGTATAGGCGCCCGCTTCTCGTACATGAGAGTGCGGGCTCGAAACCTACCAACGACAAGTACCAATGTGACTTGTTCCGAGTTATATGTACTTTCTAAGATTAGTCAGACACCACTGACAAACGGTGAAGGAAAACATCGCGAGGAAAACTGGGCTTATAATTTATAATTATAAGTTTGTAATCGCCAACCCGCATTGAGCAAGCGTGGCGGTTAATGGTCAAACCTTCTCCGTGTGAGAAGAGGCCTTTGGTCAGCAGTAGTCACTTATAGGCTGTTGATGATGGTGATGATAAATGAATTCTTCACAATAATTGGGCAATTTCCAGGGTATGAACATTAAAAATCTAATTAGTCCGTCAGTTAGGTAATGTAAAAATATTAGACACGTATTTTTTTATTTTCTCGTATTAAGTTGCAATACTTAGATAAAATGGCGCTAAGTTTAGGAGTGGGAGGTCATTACGTCATAACGTGCTACAAAATGTGGCACGCTGTGACGTCACACGATATTTCAAATTAATATATCGTCGAAAGTATTTAATTTGGTGAGAAAAGAAAAAATACGTGTCTAAAGTTTTAAATTAATGTACCAGACGGACATTAAAATAAAATTTAAAAACTACCCTATTGTTTATACAGTTTTAATTGTTTTTGTTTCCATGTTAATTATGCAACATCAGCCTGGAGCGGTTGATAACAACTATAATTACATTAAAAGAATTTATTCCTTACTTTTATGAAAATAAGACTTGTTTTTTACCAACACCTGTCGGCGTTTTTCGGAAACGTTACGTTTAGTACACAAAACTGCGATGCGATTTCGTCCGACAAGACGTTTCCCAGGGTGACCATTCCTTCGACGACCGTCAACCCTATTGTAACCAAAGTTAGTCAGTAAGAGTCTGACACTCCCTTCCGCCTCACCCAGGCAGGAGTCATTCGATGATTTTCCCCCCTAAAAAAAAAACCCTATTGTAACCAAAGCATTTCTATTACAGTACATCAAAATAAACGTCAACAATGATCAACAACCTCTAAGCATTATTCTTTCGAATGGCGTCAACATATCTTTCACCATACAAATGTGCTACTACGTCGCAGACGACCCAGAGAAACTCGGAACTATGAAGAAGAAGCCAGGAGCCTTTATATTCAGACCTATGGACTCCCAACCGATATTAATACTAGATGTCTACAACTCTAAGATCCTGAAATCTGATGTCGTTGAAGAGATCCATCTTCGTTTCGCTGATTATGCTGGGATATCTTTGAAGCTATATAAAGGTTTGCCAACTATTGAGGTCGATTGGGTCGTTGGTCCGATTCCAATCGCTGATAACTTGGGTAAAGAGGTTTTTATTCGGTATGTGACTGATTTGAATAATAACGGCGTTTTTTATACCGATAGTAATGGCAGGCAGACTATGAAAAGAATAAGGGATGCTAGACCTACGTTTTTGCCGACTATTGTTGATAGTTCTTCCGCTGTCGCTGGTGAGTATAATTTGCATACGACCTTTGTATTAAAATTAAGGATACAGATGATATAACATAACATCTCGCCTTTTATCCCCGAAGGGGTAGTTACGGCACTGACATAACATAACATCACGCCTTTTATCCCCAAAGGGTTTGGCTGGGAGGTACACATTACAGCACTTAATGCCACTGTACAATGTAACACCCACTTTTCACTATTTATGTTATAAGTCCCATGTAATAGGAGGTGAGTCTTTTGTCTCCTAGTCTATCCTTGGCTTAAAACTGTAATGCTACCTGGTCTCTGTCAAGCCCCTTAGTCGGGTATACGACACCCACGTGAAGATTAGGGGTGGTGATTTATTCTTCTTTGTCGTCAACTTACAGTTCATTTATCAGAACTAGTTACTACCGCGTGGTTTTGCTCGCTTCTTGGCTCCTATTGATCACAGCGTGATGTTTTATAACCTATAGCCTTTCTCGATCAATGAACTATCCAACACAAAAAGAATTATTCAATACGGATTAGGAGTTTCTGAGAAAAGCAAGTCTAAAAAAACAACAAACGCTTCCACCCTTCTCACGAAAATAGGAACATCCCTTTCTGACGACAGTTAACAAATCAATAATTACTTTGTTTCCAGGGAACATCTACCCAGTCACATCAAAAATATACATCGAAGACAAAACAAAAAACATCAGACTGTCCATTTTTACCGACAGATGTCAGGGCGGAACATCTTTGATCGACGGACACATAGACATATTTCTTCATAGACGTATCTTTACCGATGACATTGGCGTCAATACTTATTTAAACGAATCTGTACTTGGCCACGAAAGCATTGTAAGGGGGAAACAACATTTATATCTATCCAAAGCTGATTTCCGACCAAACAAGGTATTCGAGAAGAAATTCGCTAAGGAATTGGAATTAGGACCTAAAGTGTTCACATCAATTCACCAATCTTACTTCAATATCAGTCTTGCCAATTGGAATGAAAACATCAATGAATATACGGCTTTGAATATGAAATTACCCGTTGGAGTACACATTTTAACTTTGGAAAAATGGCACGATAAATATTTATTGAGATTGGAAAACTATTTAGAACAGGCTGACGTTGCTCGCAATGGTTATAAAAAGGTATACATTAAAGAGTTGTTCAAAGACTTCATTATAACTGAAGCCAAAGAGACTTTGCTAGCTGGTAATATATGGTTAGATGATTACTACCCAATGCGCTGGCACAAAGATAGATTCGTAAAAAATTTTAACGAAATTTATGGGAATTTCAGCCATTTTGAATTTGCCAAAGATGAGGAGGTGGAATTGAATAGACAGAAGATAAATTTGGATGAAGGCATCGGTTTGATGCCGCAACAGATAAGGACTTTTGTTGTAAGTTATGTTCGGAGGTAATAAAGAGGTAGAGGTACGATATGACCTTCAAACTCATTAGAAGTAGGCACAGCTTTTTTTCCCTCCCAAAACCGCTGCAACTCCTGTAAGCCAGAATCTACAGTAGATACAACCATGAAAACAACGGAACATTGAAGTCCGGCGCGTCCCAGGGACATGAGTAACTGTCTTGGTTCCCGCAACGAAGTGAATCAGAAAATATTATAAGAGGAAAAGAAGAAAAAACTATAGTTTCCACTTCCCTCGGTGAATTACTGCAGGAGACAGAATGAATTAAGCCTACAGGCACAAAGAAGACTGTAGAACTGGGTGAAGCCCAGTCGCCAAGCACCACGGAAATTTGACTAAAAACTAAATGTGTGAGCTGTTATACTTGCTTCTAATAATAGGTATGGCAAAAGCGCCTAAACGCACGGAAATTTGTTCTAGATTCCACAAGGTCCGTATAATAAGCTGTACCTGACGAAACAATTAAATTATTTAACATAGTGTTACGTTCATATTGCCAGAGATCAAACTCCCAGAGTATGTGATGGGCCGACTGCTCGTATTGCAACTCCGCTGTCGAACATTGGCACCATGGTGAATCAATAAGTTTAAATGAGAACAATTTACTTTTAAAGTTGCCGTAAGAAATTGGGTAGGCACAGCTTGGCAAAAAAGAGTTTTATACGGTGATAGCTGGGACGTGCTTCATCGTAGACCGCATCATCGCTTACCAGCTTATTCAAACGTCGGCCCATCAAATATACAGAGTGTCCCTGAAGTCGACGATCAAATAGCACCAGATAATCGACGAGGTTCCAACAGTCTTAAGAAAAATACAGAAAAAAATCCAAGTCATCCTTACTATATTATAAATTGGAAAGTGAGTTTGTTTGTTTGTTTGTTCCGTTTTCACGCCGTAACTTCTAAACCGATTGCTTTGAATTTTTGCAGACGTAAAGTTAGAAGTCTAGATTAAATAATAGGGTACTTTTATCCCGGAAAAATTTGATATTCCCGAGGGAAAACATAAGTATTGGTATAGATGGCGCTGTGTATATTGGTATATGTCACATAGGCTACTTGTTATCCTTTTGTGACGCGAGCGAAGCCGCGGGTAATAAAGCTAGTATAGTTTTTAAATTACTTAAAATCACATATATCCACGAAAAACTAGACCCTGTGCCAATCTTTTGACTCTGGTTGCTACAATTCTTTATTTTTTCGTCTGTATTTTTGCTTACATTGTCCTGAATAGTGCTTTAGTATTAATGAATAATGAATTCTGAGTGAACTGCTGTAGTTTGGATAATAATATCATTTTTTGATGAACCAAGAAATTTCAATAAACTCTTTATCTTACTTTAAGTGACTGTATTGAGCAAATTTCAACAAGTTGGCTAATTTAATAAGTATTCTAAAATGGTATATCATTTCCTACAGTATTTCTTAAATGCCAGCCAAAAAATATTACACGTCGACCCATGAAATATAAAAAAACTCGTACTGAGGCTTATAAGGCTTATAAGGGCTGGCAACATATTTATATATAAATATATCTCCAGTAATATTGTGGATGTTAATTATCAATGTCGTAGATGCTTGAGTGTCAACGTACAGCCCAGTGTTAGGTATAAGTACATAGCATATTATGTAAGTTTTATTTAAATAAATGTATAACCTATAACTGTATTTTACGTTTTTTATTTTCACACTTTAGTACAGTCTCCTGTGTCGTGTGTACGTATATAAACACTTTCATATATACAACAGTGTCGGAGAGCCATGCTTTGGCACGAATGGGCCGGCTCGACCGGAGTGATACCACGGCCGAGCAGAAAACCGACGTAAAACAACGCTTGTGTTGTGTTTCGTCATGTTAGTAAAGTTACCAGAGGCCTAATTACCCCCCTCCCTTCCCCAATCTCTCCAATCCCTGAATCCCCAACAATCCTCAAACTCATAATCTCCAAAAGGCCGATAACGTTCTTGTGACGCTTACGGCGTTCCGTGTGTCCATGGGCGACGCCGATTGCTTACCATCAGGTGATCCGTCTGCTCGTTTACCGGCTTATACCATAAAAAACACATCACACACAATGGGAGCTTACTCTTGAATCCAATTCCGATCGATCGACATTGATATTGTGTCGTACTCTTGAGTCGCAACACTAGCGCCCATTACATCCGTATTGCGCGGATATTGAATGAACTAAATGGTATTGAGTTTGTCTTTATACAGCTACGATTGTGGTTGTATAGTGTTGACTTTGAATAATTATTGAGATTTTATTGGATTGACATTGAGATTGGTTTCAAGAGTAAGCTGCGTAGCTCCAATATTTGTGGATCACACAAAGAATTATTGTTCTATGTAGGAATCGAACTCACAACATACAGTAAAATTACTAAACATAACATCATTTATCCCCGAAGAGGTAGACAGGTGCACTTTAATGCCACTGTACAATGTAACACCCACTTTTCACTATTTATGTTATGAGTCCCATGTAATAGGGGGTGAGTCTATTGCCATATACCGGGTACAATTCCAGACTACGTGCTACTACTGAGAATTTTTTAAACGCCCCTGTAATGGCTAGCCCGACCCGGAATTCAAACCCGAGACTCCTTGCCAGACAGTCGCACTTGCGACCACTCAGCCATTGAGATTTTTTTTTAAGTCCGGGTATCGAACCCGACACCCTACTGCTGAGATTTTTTTAAACCTTGCCCGACCCGGGAATCGAACCCGAGACCGCTTACCCGGCACTTGCGTCCACTCGGCCAACGTGGCAGTTTAAATTACAGTAAAATTACATGTAGGTAAGTATCTGTTTACGTATAAAATAAAACGAATATATTTTTTAAAAAATTCATAAAATTTATTTGGTTTTTCATTCTTTTTTTCTATGTAACATTTGATTACAAAACAATGATACATTAACAATAGTATCTATCTATAAACATAATTAGAATTATTTCGAAAATCTTATTATAAAACGTAGACAGCACATATACGTCGAAAAATCTATTTCGTTTTCGCCCCGAAGCAAAACAACTCGCCATTTTATTGGTTTAGAGATACTTCTACTTAAGTGTGGGAGAGCCATGCTTCGGCACTGCTGGGCCGGCTCGACCGGAGTGATACCACGGCCTCACAGAAAACCGACGTAAAGCAACGCTTGCGTTGTGTGAGTGAGGTTACCGGAGGCCCAATTACCCTCCCCTTCCCCAATCTCCCCAATTCCTGAATCCCCAACGATCCTCAAACTCCTAATCCCCAAATGGCCGGTAACGCACTTGTAACGCCTCTGGTGTTCCAAGTGTCCATGACCGACGCCGATTGCTTACCATCAGGTGATCCGTCTGCTCGTTTACCGGCTTATGCCATAAAAAAAAACTTCTGGCTCAGTCTCAAGGGGGGAAAATCATCGAATGTCTGCTCCCGCCTGGGTGAGGCGGGAGTGAGTGTCAGACTCTTACTGACTAAAAACCACCCCGTTCCTTCTACTGCGTTTCGAGCCGGAGCCCCGGTTACCCGTTACGTTCTCCACGACAAAACAACTTGCCATAAGGAATACAGAAGAATAAAGGACGTCATTTATTTAAACTGTCAAACACCAAGCGGTCACCGGTGACCGCAACCTATTGTTCTCTAATTGTGTCTATAAATACGGTACTCGACGAGTTAAATAAAAAAAGAAGTTCATGGATATACGCACATGAAACACTAGAAGTATATTTGTAGGCAGTATTCGCATCGCACGTGCCACCCGATGAGAAATACCTCTTCGAGAATCACATGGCGTGATATTTTGATAATGTACTATGAGTTCGTATGCGCTTTCGAAGTTTGCGTAGCAATGGTTCACCAGTTATTTTTTGTTTTAAACATTTTATTTCTTTGTAAAACTATTGTATTACCGAGACAGAACCATTTCACTTCGGGACGAAAACGATATAGATTTCTCGGTGTACAATGTAACACCTACTTTTCACTATTTATGTTATGAGCCCCATGTAATGGGGGGTGAATATTCCCAAACACCAAAAACTAGACTCCGAGCTATAACTGAATCTTTCGAGGTCGAAAAAGACAAAAACACTTTCCCCGACCTAGGAATCGAACCTAGATACCTCATTGAGTGGTCTTAGTTCTGGCTACTTGAGCAACGAAGTAGTTAAAATTGTGTGCAAATTAATAAGAGATTTTATTTATTAAAAATTAAAGTCATTGATTCCGTAAAAAATGAAAAATTACAATGTTTAATATTAAATTAAGTAAAATCGCGGGTTACTCACGTGAATATACTGAGAAAAGCTCTACTAGTTTCGAACCACAGAGGGGTTCTTCCTCATGAGCAGCGTGCGCGGTCGCGGCGACGTCGCGTTTTTACTTAATTTAGTATGTCTCACGATAGTTATTATAAAAATGTTTAATATTTTTACAAGACGGGGTAACCGATTCCCCCCTTTAAAATAGGCAACATTAGCGCCCTCTAACGTAAATAAAAACGTTAACTCTCTTTCTAGCACACAATAATCTGAAATTTCTACTATCAGTATAAAAAGACGAAATCATACGTTTATTTGATAAATACTAAAACATCTATATTTGAACGGTTTTATTTTACTTTTCCTATTTCTATATCTGGGTCTTTAGTAATAGGGATGATGACAGGGTATGAAAATTAAAAATCTAATTAGTCCGTAAGTTAGGTAATGAAAAAATATTAGACACGCATTTTTTTTGTCGTATAATAAAACAATACTTAGATAAAACGAATCAAAGTTTAGTAGTGGGGGTTAAAACGTCATTTCTACGTATAAAATGTACATAGAAGTTACGTCACGCGACATTTCAAATCAATATATCGTCGAAAGTAATCGTTTCTGTAAGAAAATATGATATGATTTCAAATAATCTACCAGACGGAAATAAAAGGCATCTACCCTATTGTAATTTCACCCCCTTCCTGACGACAGATGGATCTGATATTTGGTACAAACTCTTAATCTTGATGACCATACAATATAATCTAATGTTCCACAACTACCTCCATTATGGATATCAAACGAAAGGGCTTGGTTGGTAGGAAAGAGCTCATTGAAACCGTTTAACATTAAACATAATAGTTTCTCATACAACTGTCGTTACTTCATACCGTCCTACCATGCTCATACTAGTAGCTTTTACTTGAGACGAATGCTCTTTAATTTCAAAATCAGCTAAAAACGTCTTTATTTCTTTACCTTTTATAGTAACAGTTAAATGATTTGATTTCCATTTCTGACTGAATTAGTCTTATCTTTAGCACTTTGCATATTCCACGTCCATTTTTTATAACCGTCCACTGGCCTGTGACCAGCTAAAAGCATCTCTTCAACCTTTAAAATCTTAATATTCTTAAACAAATTTTGTAAATTAACTTCGACTGATGCGTTTTTATCCTCAATGTAATTCTCTAAACGAATCAAAAGTTTCGAATCCCATGGTTCTAAGGTCAAAAGATGTATCCCTTTAGGCAAATCTCTTTCGAGCCACGAAATTCGTTGTGCATCGCGAGCCAATCGTCATATTTTATATTCGTCGCATCAGCGAATAGTAGGATAGGAGGTTGGTGCATTTCTACAACTTGCTTTTTGAGATTATCTTTACTTGTACCGATGTAACCCTATGCTTTCCCCTAACTACGAGACCCTTATCTTTCGCAGTCTCATTCAAAGCTTCCCCTACACCAAAAGCATCGTCACATAGCAACCTTCTATGTAACATCAACTCAATTTCACCATCAACCATGGAACTGCCACCTTGCGATCTATCCGTTAAGACGGACATCCTAAAATCTTTACTATTTTTTATATATATCTGATTGGTCACTGGATAATAATTGCCGGGCACCGGCTCCTGTAGACTAACATTCCATTGCGGGCGAAAATCTCTGCATCGTTCAAGTATCTGTCTGCCATTTGAGTCTGTATAAAATTTCCCCTTATTAGCTATATGCGTTTCATATTTAACTATATATTCTTTGCCTGTATCATCTAGAATAGGTATAGGTCCTACAACCCATTCGACCTCTAGATAATTATGATCATCATAGAATTTAACGTCAAGGTAACCAGCGGGGTTTAAATCAATGCGGATTTCTTGGACAATGTCTCCTTTGATGATGTCAGTGTTGAGTGGTTCCAATTTCGCAGGGGAATTTGATGATGGTCTAAATATATAGGCCCCCGATGCCCTGTGAGCACTGTCGTGGTTGTCACCACAGGTTCCGGTATAGTAATACATATTTATAGAAAAGTTGGTTTTAGAATGATCTGGGAATATAATCTTCTTGATATTTCCTGTTGCTTTGTTTACTTCTAATTTGAAGTGCTGTAAAAAGGTTTAGAAACAGGTTAGTCTTTGAGATTTTTTGCTGTTTTTTTATGGCATAAGCTGGTAAACGAGCCGACGGATCACCTGATGATAAGTAATCGACGTCGCCCATGGACACCTGAAACATTAAGGCGTTACAAGTGCGTTACCGGCCTTTTGGAGATTAGGAGTTTGAGGACCGTTGGGTGTTGTGTTTCGTTGTGTGAGCGAGGTTACCAGAGGCCCAATTATCCCCGCTCCCACCCCAGTCTCCCCAATCCCCGAATCCTCCACAATCCTCCAATTCCCAATTCCCAAAAGGCCGGTAACGCACTTGTAACGCCTCTGGTGTTCCGGTGTCCATGGGCGACGCCGATTGCTTACCATCAGGTGATCCGTCTGCTCGTTTACCGGCTTATCCCATAAAAAATATGTATTACATGTTCTTACCTGATTACCAATAATTATTTCCTCATCGTCCTTAACAGCGCGATCTGGATCATCAGCCAACATCCTCAATTCATCCATATTGAACATACTTGGATAATTGAACGGTTTTGGATCATTATTGCCTTTGTTATCTATTTTTTTATTATTTTCATGATCCAAAATCTTCTCAAAATCAAGTAGTTTTTGATTATCATTATCATTCGGTCCGTCTTTTAAAACATCTAGATTCGGTTCGTTTTTACTTTTATCCGTTTTCTTTCTATCATCAGAAGGACTTTTTTCATAATCAGGTATTCTTTCGTAATTATTTTGTATCCTTTCTTTTAACATTTCGAAGTTAGCGTCATTGCTACCTTTGTCAATTTTCTTATTATTATCAGCTGTCAGTTTTTCAAAATCAAGCATTTTTTTGTTATTTTCACGTAATCCATCTTTGAGAATATCGTAGTTTGGTACATTTGTGTCTTTGCTATCTGTTTTTTGTCGATCATCAACTGAGATCTTTTCATAATCGAAAATTTTCTTAGTATCACTTGACCCGTCTTTTAAAATATCGTAATTTGGTTCTTTATTATCAATTTTCTTAGTATTTTCGACCAAAATCCTTTCTAGTTCAAACATTTTTTGATCGTGTTCACTTAACCTAGTTTTCAAAGCATCTACGTTAGCCTCTTTATTATTATTCTCAACTTTCTGTCTATTAGCTACCAGAATCCTTTCGAAATCAATACTTTTTTGATCGTTATCATGTGACACGTCTTTATTTTCATTTTCATTAGGAATTTTATAATTTTCTTTCTATTGTCTAAAATCTTTTCGAGATCTAACATTTTCTGTTCAGTATACGGATCATTAGGATTACCCTTTAAGATATCAAAATTGATATCTTTATCGTATATGTTTGGTATCTCTTCTAAATAAATAGGGGGCTCTGCAATCGATTCAGTAGTTATATATTTCTCATAATCGGTTTTAGATAGTTCATTGTTCCAAATGTTATTGTTTATATTTGAATAAAAGTCGTATTCCGATTTGAAACTACGTTTAGTTCGGGAATGCTTCTTGATATAAAATGTTTTATATGATAGTGGTTTTAATTCCGTCAAAAATACTATTTCTTGTGTCGCACTTGAAACACGTGTCGGGATATTTTTAACTGTTGCTGACAACGGTACCATTTGTGTTTTTACTATTGTGCCTGAAAAAAAGTAGCAATTAGCAATTAGCAATGGGGATGATGACAGGGTATGAAAATTAAAAATATAATTAGTCCGTAAGTTAGGTAATGAAAAAATATTAGACACGTATTTTTTTATTTTGTCGTATAATAAAACAATACTTAGATAAAACGAATCAAAGTTTAGGAGTGGGGGCTAAAACGTCATTTCTTACCATAAAATGTACTGAGAAGTGACGTCACGCGACATTTCAAATCAATATATCTTCGAAACTATTCGTTTCTGTGAGAAAATAAAAAATACGTGTCTAATGTTTTTAAATAATCTACCAGACGGACATTAAAATAAAAATTAGTCGTCTACCCTATTATGACAAGGCAAGTTTTTTTTTTAAACATTGCCTCACACTAGGATTTTCTCCTGTGTCGTGGGTGCGGTTACAAAGTGAATGGTTATTATAAAATATATAAATGTTTTTTCTTTCTTATTATGGATGACTGCCTCGTTGGTCGAGTGGTCGCAAGTGCGACTCGGACAAGGGGTCTCGGGTTCGATTCCCGGGTCAGGCAAAGTATAACTGGGTTTTTTTAAAAATTCTCAGTAGTAGCACGGAAGAAGAGGTAGGCAGAGCAATAATGCCAATGCAATACCCACTTTTTACCGTTTATGTTATGAGTCCCATGTAATAGGGGGTGAGCCTGTTGCCATATATCGGGCACAATACCAGACTCCGTGCTACTACAGAGACTTTTTTTAAACAGAGTAATACTTTGCCCGACCCGGTAATCGCACCCGAGACCCCTTGTCCAGCAGTCGCACTTGCGACCACTCGGCCAACGAGGCAGTTTATCTGACTTCCCAAAAAACCTCCTTTTTAAATGGTTATCAATTAATCACCATCCAAAAGTCTTTTAACTCCGAAGAGTTAGCCTTCGGAGATTAAAACATGTGATGTTATGTTATATCAGTTAATAATTTAAATGAATATACTTACCAGAAGGTCCAAAGACTTCGAACGTCCCAGCATCCACTGGTATCCTTATAGGTTCATTGACAGACCAACCCAGAGGATTATATATAGTTACCTGAAAACAGAAACATCATTTATTGACGACTACCTGTTGCCCCCGACTTCGTCCGCGTAGAATCAAAGTCTAAGTCAAAGTATTTATTTCAATTATACCATAATTTGGTACTTTTGAAACGTCAACAAATACAAAATAAATAATAGTCTGTCAGTCAGTCCGTCAGTGAAGCTAGGTGAAGCTAGGTGCTCATTCCAAAATGTAAATTCGAATGGAGAAGAACGAGCAAGAAACTCCAGTCGACAACAGTCGAAATAATTTATTTTTGATTAAGGAAACTAGCCAATAGGGTAGCCAAAAGGGTGGTTTAGATTCACAAATGAGCCCGGCAGATGGCGCTGCAGTCGTTGTTTAGGTTAGTTATCCTAAACAGCTGAACTAATTTGAATGAATTTTTGTTTATACATTCAAGTGGATATGCAGGACAACGTCTGTTGGGTCCGCTAGTATTTACTGTATATTTTACTCAAAAGCAAGTACTTACAACAAAGTTATTGCTGTTTTCTGAAACCTCACAGCTGGACTCGTTGAGGCGACATCTTTGGAAGTCGAACATCGGCTTCCTCGCACTGTCCTTTACAATCATTTTACTGAAACAAACGCATCCATATATATATGTCGGAGGAAGCTGGGAGTTAATTGTTACTTGCATTGCATAACGCACATTAATTTTGTTTGTATTATATTCACTTTTTAAAATGCCTAAATTAATTTAAATTGATTTGTCACACTTAAAATTCTTAATTTGATTTATTAGAATTATTAATAATTTGAATTTGACTGCCTAAGTAACGACCAATCAGAGCAGAGCGCGCGCCTCGAGCGGGGTCGAGGCGCCATCTTACTGATAAAAAAGGAGATAGTTTTAGCGGGAGAGCATGAATTGGCTATCGGTCGAGTTGGATCGTTTATGTGATTTACTGTAAGATCGGTGCCCTGAACCCGCTGCTCAGTCCTAAATATTAACTTTTCTCTTGCGTTATTGTGAAACAGATAAAACTATTGTTACTATCTAAATTAAATTAAAAGAGTGTTTATTGTGATTATTGTGTTTTGTGCTCGCATTTTACCCTCATGACAATGTTTCTCCGACATATATATATATTTAACGAATAACGGAATAGTAACGAATGGAGTTTCTTGCTCGTTCTTCTCCAATCGAATCGACATTTTGGAACGAGCGCCTAGCTTCACTGACGGACAGACTGACAGACTATTATTTATTTCATATTTGTTGACGTTTCAAAAGTACCAAATTAAGGTTTAATTGAAATAAATGCTTTTGAGTTTGAGTTTTCAAATTGGGTACTAGTTGGCAAAATTAGTCAAATTCAACACTTTTTACAAAACAAAAGTCTAAAAAAGGCTACGAATTTTGACATAGACTTCTAAAAAAGGCTACGAATTTTGACATAGACTTCTAAAAAAAGACTACGAATTTTGACATAGACTTCTAAAAAAGACTGAATTTTGACATAGACTTCTAAAAAAGACTATGAATTTTGTACGAGATTGTGTATTGTGACGTCACGTTTTTTTAGCGTCAAACAGTAGCATACTTAATTCTTAAAAATTTGCGGGATCATAACATCAAATAATTAAAGTGTGATTATTTTTTAATATGTTATTGTATTGAACAAAGTCAAAGCATTTATTTCAATTAAACCATAATTTGGTACTTTTGAAATGTCAATAAATACAAAATAAATAATAGTCTGCCAGTCAGTCCGTCAGTGAAGCTAGGTGAAGCTAGGTGCTCATTCCAAAATGTACATATGAATGGAGAAGAACGAGCAAGAAACTCCAGTCGACAACAGTCGAAATAATTTATTTTTGATTAAGGAAACTAGTCAATAGGGTAGTTTCCTAAATTTTATTTTAATGTCCGTCTGGTACATTAATTTAAAACTTTAGACACGTATTATTTCTTTTCTCACAAAATTAAATACCTTCGACGATTTTTTAATTTGAAATATTGTGTGACGTCACAGCGTGCCACATTTTGTAGCACGTTATAACGTAACGACCTCCCACTCCTAAATTTAGCGCCATTTTATCTAAGTATTGCAACTTAACTCTTTGAGTACCGTCATTAAAGACACAATTATAGAACAATAGGTTGCGGTCACCGGTGTCCTCGCGGTATTTGACAGTAAAATAAAAAATACGTGTCTAATATTTTATCATTATCTAACTGACGGACTAATTAGATTTTTAATTTTGATACCCTGGCAACTACCCAATTATGTACACTTACTTGAATGCCTGTTTGGCAATAATGAATGCGTCATCGATGGCCTGGTTCAATAGTCTCTCATAGTCGTGTGTAACATGCTGCTTTTCTGTTCCTGTTATAGCGTCGTGATGTTGCATTACACCTGGAAATTATTAAATTGCATTGACATTGAGATTGGTTTCAAGAGTAAGTACCCAAGTGATCCGTAATCGTTTACCAGCTTATCCTATAAAAATTTAAGTGTGGGAGAGCCGAATGGGCCGGCTCGACCGGAGTGATACCACGGCCGAGCAGAAAACCGACGTGAAGCAACGCTTGCGTTGTGTTTCGTCGTGTGAGTGAGGTTACCGGAGGTCCAATTACCCTCCCCTTCCCCAATCTCAACAATCTCAACCCCTGAATCCCCAACGATCCTCAAATTTCTAATCCCCAAAAGGCCGGTAACGCACTTGTAACGCCTCTAGTGTTCCAGATGTCCATGGGCGACGACGATTGCTTACCATCAGGTGATCCGTCTGCTCGTTTACCAGGTTATCCCATAAAAAACTGTGGTATGATCTGTCGTCGGCGGTATTTGCGAACCGATAGGACCTTCAGGAGCACCAACTCCTCTGATGTTGCGGGTGTCCATAGTCGGCGCTGATCGCTTACCATCAGGTGATCCGTCTGCCCGATTGCCTCCTATTCCATAAAATTACTTACCCATAGCACTTTTCAGTTCGTTTAGAACAAATTCATTATGTTTGTCTAAATCAGACAACACCTGTAGCTGCTTCATTGACTGAAATCAAAAACATAAAGTATGAATATTGATTAAAACTGTATTAATTTCGTGTGTTCAATATATTAGTCACTTATACTTCTCGTGGGTGTAGTATACTCGACTAAGAGACTACACATTTGACTGAGACCGTACAGCAGCGCTCTCTGAACAACAAACCATCACGTCTTTTATCCCCGAAGGACTACAGAGGTGTACATTACGGCACTTAATGCCACTGTACAATGTAACACCCACTTTTCACTATTTACGTTATGAATCCCATGTAATAGGGAGTAAGCCTATTGCCATATACCGGACACAATTACACTGTGCTGCTACTGATATTAAAAAAAACCAGTAATACTTTGCCCGATCAGGGAATCGAACCCGAAACCTCTTGCCCAGCAGTCGCACTTGCGACCACTCGGCCAACGAGCCAGTCAAACCTGTCTCTGATAAACCTGAACCTTGTACACTGCGACCTCCAACCCGCCTGCCTGCATAGATTATGGCAAACCCTCTTATGTAGGGGAGACTCATAGTACAATACACTGTTGATGTGATTAAACCTACGTCCTTATTAGCCATTTAAATATAATCTTTAAATCGTATGTCTTATGATACATTTCGTAACGTCAATACAAAAGCCGACGGCGGGTAGTCGACGCGCCCGCGTGCTTACAGCGCGTCGCCCGTGCGGCGTCGACGTGACGTCGGTGAGACGTCGGCGCGCCGTTAGCGAGTTGACGGCGCGCCGACCAAGTGCTAGCGAAACAACGTCGCATCGAAGATAGGTATTGTAATGCTACATTAACACTCTCGCGCAAGATGACACGAGGCTGAAGTACATTGCAGCCTTATAATGCGAGAAAGACTACAACTCTTTTATAATAACGACAATGTATCTCGGCCTCGTGTCGACTCGCGCGAGAGTGTTCATGTAGCATTAAAAGCTTTCACCTAGCAAGCAAGCGCGAGTTGGAAGCGCGTGGTCACCACGTTTTTAAAATGTGAGATGTCCTTTAATCTGATATACGCTCATTTTAAATGTGAGATGTCCTTTAGTCGGGTAAACGACTCCAGGATATGAGTAGCGGTGTGACAAATGTTTTAACTGTTTATTATTACCTGTAAATAATTATTCCCCTCTCTCTCGAAATATTTAGTGGTAGGTCTGGAGGTGAAGTAGCCAGTCCAATAAGCAGTGGGATCGCTGGCGTATGGGAAGAAATCGTCCTTCTTCGTAGACAGAGTCGGGCTGAAAACATATGTAAATAATGTAACCAAGAGTACTTGTCAACTAGTCAAACTCAATACTTTTTTTCGAACTGTCAAAAACGACAGTTTTCTATGAATTTTGTACGAGATTGTGTATTGTGACGTCGTTTTTTTTAGCGCCAAACAGTAGCATAGTTATTTCTTAAAAATTTTGCTGAAAAAATACTAAAATTAAGTTGGTCATAAAATAAATTAATGAAAGTGTGATTATTTTTTAATATTTTATTGTATTGAACAGTCGAAATAATTTATTTTTGATTAAGGAAAATACTCAATTGTTTTAAAATTTATGTTTTTGGCTGCATCTCGTAACTGTTTGACGAGGAACTCGACTAGTTTCAAGCCATCCTAGAGGCTTATATTCATGAGCAACATACCGCGACAGGCAGGCGACGCGATTTTTTTGGATTTTATAGAAATTAGGTTTTTGAGAAATTTTGGGGATTCATGGATTGGGGGAGATTGAAGAAGGAAAAGGGGTTTGCTGGTTCCTCCGGTAACCTAACTCACACAACGGAACACAACACTGTGGTTTTCTGCTCGTTGGTGGTATCACTCCAGTCGAGCCGGCCCATTCATGCCGAAGCATGGCTCTCCCACACTTATTAACTCGTCGAGTACCGTATTTATAGACACAATTAAAGAACAATAGGTTGCGGTCACCGGTGACCGCTTGGTGTTTGACAGTTTAAATAATATTAAGTCAACTTACTTAGCTTCTTTGACCGCCTTTAAATAACAATTGGGTGTTGAATAGAACACTGATATATTTAGTCCATCTCTAGCTGCCTTCAAATTGGAATATCTGAAATTATCAATAATATATATTAACTTTAAAATTACCAATGTGACTTTTTCCGAGTTACATGTACTTTCTAAGATTATTTAGACACCACTGACAAACGGTGAAGGAAAACATCGTGAGGAAACCTGGGCTTATAATTTCTAATTATAAGTTTGAAATGGCCAACCCGCATTCAGCAAGCGTCATGAGCACAGATATATTAAAGAAGGTCGTGAGTAATGTTCAAACCTCTGTGTGAGAACAGACCTTTGGTCAGCAGTGGGCATTTATAGGCTGATACTGATGATGATGATGAATAAAAGTTTAAAGAGCATATATAATAAGACACACAAAATAAACAAAATTAAATTTAGTAGAATAAAAATCGTCAATTTTCAATAAGAAGATTAAAAGTCGAATATCTCGAAAAAGGTTAAGTTTAGGGTAGGGTGTTTCATAGTGAAATAAGTCAGAAGTTTTTAAAAAAAATAAAAAAAATAACATAATATATATATATATATGTAACAAAAATAATGATGAATATCTTACTTTATCAATTTGTCAAGATTTATATACCACATCGAAGCGTCCTGATACGTAAAGTCCCCGCCCATAGTGACTATAACGTTCTTAGTTTTATAATACCTCGCCTGATTCTTTACATAGTCTAAAAATAATGGAATCTGTAAATTAAAATTGCAGCTTTAATATGTAGATTACATAACATAACATCACGCCTTTTATCCCCAAAGGGGTAGGCAGAGGTGTACATGCCACTGGACAATGTAACACCCACTTTTCACTATTTATGTTATGAGTCCCATGTAATAGGGGGTGAGCCTATTGCCATATACCGGGCACAATTCCAGACTCCGTGCTACTACTGAGAATTTTTTTAAAAACACAGTAATGCTTTGCCCGACCCGGGAATCGAACCCGAGACCCCTTGCCCGGCAGTAGCACTTGCGATCACTCGGCCAACGAGGCAATAATATGAAGATTATAAAGTATTTTGTACGTTGTATGAAATTGGTGTTTATGTTGTTTTTATTTTAACCATAAAATCTTTTAATCAAATAGTTTATTTTAAAATTAATATACTACTGAGCCTAGTAATTCTATCGCCAAGCAATTAAATAATAAGTTGAAAAAACATTTAGTACAGTGACTATGCAAGCGGCTCCCGGGAGCTTACTCTTGATTCCAATTCCGATCGATCGACATTGATATTGTGTCGTACTTTTGAGTTGCAACACTAGCGCCCATTGCATCCGTATTGCGCGGATATTGAATGAACTAAATGGTATTGAGTTTGTCTTTATATTCCGTACTCTGAATGCTATTGTAACAGCTACGATTGTGGTTGTATAGTGTTGACATTGAATAATTATTGAGATTTTATTGAACTGTATGAAAAATTAAAATAGTTCTTTACGGTTGCACAAATTACTTCCGTGTCTGTGTGTGATGTGTATGTGAAAGTGTTCGTATACGAACACACGACACAGGAGACAATAATAAACTAGATATAAGTTAAAAATACATAACGTCACGCCTTTCATCTCCGAAGGGGTAGGCAGAGATGCAAATTACGACACTTAATGCCAATGTAAAATGTAACACCTACTTTTCACTATTTATGTTATGAGTCCCATGTAATAGGGGGTGAGGCTATTGCCATATACCGGGCACAATTCCAGACGCCGTGCTACTACAGAGATTTTTATAAAAACCCAGTAATACTTTGCCCGACTAGAGAAACGAACTCGAGACCCCTTGCCCGACATTCGTACTTGCGACCACTCGATGACATTCGTACTTGCGACCACTTGATGTTTTAAAATATACGGAAAGTCCGATGCCCCTACAAGACAGGTACATAATCTGTTGGACTAACTATTGTGGTATTTTTAGACGACGGAAATCAACTAAATGAACGTCACTAGTTTAATCTGTATTATTGACAGCACTAGCTGTCATGTTGACGATGTCATCTGTCAAATGTGACAGATTAGAAAGTTTCCCGCGCAAAGAGTGGTAACGAGCGATTGTGGTGGGAATTTTGAGGACTATGAGTGTGAATGTGTTCTCATAAGAATCCGTTATATAATAAACTTTTCAGTATTCAAGTACAGTAAAACGGGGTGAATAGATACAGAAGAGGGGTGAATAAATGTAGGGAAAATATTCTAACACTTATCCACCCCATTCCTAAGGCGGCCAACCGTCCCGTATTCTGCGGGACCGTCCCGTAATACTAGATGAAATCCCGCTTTGAAATAATTTATAAAATAGTCCCGTAAAACGTTAGATGCGTCCCGCAAGTCCCGCATACCCATTCCTTTTTTTTTTTCATTTCGTACTACACGACACCAACACGCGCGCACTAACAACAACGAGAATAAATGAAGATCGGAAAAATCGTCACTAAAAGTGAAAACACTACGTACTCTGCTTGTACTTAAATTTAATATGGGAAGTTGCAAAGATTTTCATGACATACCTACTCAATAAGAACTTTTGTAGGTTTATCATCGAATCATCGAATCAATTCTCCCGCCTGGGTGAGGCGGAAGTGAGTGTCAGACTCTTACTGACTAAAAACGACTCCGTTCCTACTCCTGCACGTTGACCCGATGTATTTGTAGGTGTACCGACTAAACTTTATCTACAAAAAGTCCCGCATTGGACTTTCAGAAAGTTGGTCGCCTTACCCATTCCTGTATCTATTCACCCCTCGAATTCTATTCAACCCGTTTTACGGTATTGAGTTTTACTTAAAATTATATACATCTTGACAAAATTGCCAAATAATACTTAATATGAGTAAAAACTTTCTTATCGACATCAACAGCCGATAAATGTCCACTGCTGACCAAAGGCCTTTTCTCACATGAAGGTTTGAGCATTAATTGCTCAATGCGGGTTGGCGATTTCAAACTTATAATTAGAAATTATAAGCCCAGGTCTCCTCACGATGTTTTCCTTCACCGTTTGTCAGTGGTGTCTAAATAATCTTAGAAAGTACATAACTCGGAAAAAGTCACATTGGTACTTGCCGTTGGTAGGTTTCGAGCTCACGCGCTCATGCAAGAGAAGCGGGCGTCTTAAACCTCCGGGCCACCACGACGTTTAAAAACAAGTAAATAATTTGTTACTAAACAAATGAAGCTAGAAACGTGCAATAAGAAGCTAAGCATGCAAGCCTTAAGTGATATTATTACAAATATATCATCTTGCAATCACAGTACAAAGCGCTTACTCTTGAAACCAATCTCAATGTCAATGCAATTGCACTCAATAATCATTCAATGTCAACACTATACAACCACAATCGTAGCTGTTACAATAGCAATCAAAGTACGGAGTATAAAGCCAAACTCAATACCATTTAGTTCATTCAATACCGACGTAATACGGATGCAATGGGCGCTAGTTGCGACTCAAGAGTACGACACAATATCAATGTCGATCGATCGGAATTGGATTCAAGAGTAAGCCCACAGATCTTTGTAATCGAGTCCGTACTGTTCTAAAACAATTATAGATACAGCTTTGCCTTTCAAGATTCGAAATTGACATACATACATAACTTCACGCCTGTCTCCCATGGGGGTAGGCAGAGACTAAGGAACGCCAATTACTACGATTCTTACATACCTCTTTCGCTTCATTAACAGTCATCAATCGAAATTGACACCCATTATATAATGTACTAGCAGCCCGTCCCGGCTTCGCACAGGGTAAATTATTTATTTTTGGAAATTTAGATTGTTGTAGTGACATAACTACAATAGTTGGACATATGTTACCGCGGAGTTTTTTGTAGACATTGTGATGTTCTTCAATATTATTGTACATTATTTTGTTCTATCGCTAATAGTTTCGGCAGCGCATTTAACGAAAGACATTTTAAGACTCATTTTTCTACACCTTCGGTTACATTGTTCAAATTTTACCAAGGATCCCTAATTTTATTCAAAATGAAATGTAGCCTATGTCAAATTGGAAGAATATAACATTCTATTGGTAAAAGAATTTTTTAAATCGGCCCAATACTTTTTGAGCCTATTCATTACAAACATACAAAAATAGGTACAAATCTTTCCTCTTTATAATATTATTATAATGTATGAACTTTAAGAGACCTCTGAGTTTATTTCGCCATTTCTTCTGAGAGCCAGTCAGGAAATGCTGGCCCTCATCTAGTAATTTAAAGATTGACGTTTTGTTACACGACGAAAATCAACTAAAAGAACGTCACTATTTTTTTTTCTCCTTTGGCAACCCAGTCCCCAACACGATGTTGTCGAGTATACTGCGTCGGGTACGTCACTAATTTAATCTGTATTATCGACAGCCCTAGCTGTCATGTTGACGATGTCATCTGTCAAATGTGACAGATTAGAAAAATTTCCCGCGCAAAGAGTGGTAACGCGCGATTCTGGTGGGAATTTCGACGAACATGACGCTGTGACGAGCATGATGTGATGTTTTGATAATGTACTACGAGTTCGTATGCGCTTTCGAAGTTTGCTTTTTGCAATGGTTCACTATTTATTTTTTGTTTTAAACATTTTATTTCTTTGTAAAACTATTGTATTACCGAGACAGAACCATTTTACTTCGGGACGAAAACGATCTAGATTTCACAGAGTATAAAGGAGGTTTTTTTTAAGGGGGGAAAATCATCGAATGACTGCTCCCGCCTGGGTGAGGCGGGATGGAGTGTCAGACTCTTACTGACTAAAAACCACCCCGTTCCTTCTCCTGCACGTCGAGCCGGAGCCCCGGTTACCCGTTAGGTTCTCCGCGACAGTATAAAGGAGGTTAGGTGCTGTCATTACGCTAAACAACTTTTAATATTGTTCAGGGGTGGTTGCTCAACATGTCAATGAGAGAGGTCGGTGAAAACGTGCTACAGATTATGAATTTTGCAATAAAAAAAAATGAGCATGCACAAAAAATTATACATAACTCACTCTATTAGTTTATCTAGATTGATAAACCACATGGCCGCGTCTTGGTAGTGGAAATCCTCGCCCATCGTCAACAAGATGTTATTGCTCTTATATGCTTTGGCCATATTCGTGCAAATATCCAAAAATTTCAGTATCTTCAACAAAAAATATGATTATAATTAAAATTGGGCTAGAAATTTACGTTCAGGGTCAAAATTTCTAATTCTCAAATGTCAGTTCCCAAAATGTCCAATTCACAAAATGTTCTATTCTCAAAATATCTAAATTTCAAAATGTCCAATTCTCAAATATCCAATTCTCAAAATGTCCAATTCTCAAATGTCAGTTTCCAAAATATCCTATTCTTAAATGTCCAATTCTCAAAATGTTCTATTCTCAAAATGTCCAATTCTCAAATGTCAGTTCCCAAAATGTCCAAATCTCAATGTCCAATTTTCAAAATGTTATATTCTCAAAATGTCCAATTCTCAAAATATCCAATTCTCAAAATGTGCAATTTTCAAAATGTGCAATTCTCAAAATGTCCAATTCTCAAAATGCCGATACCGACCCGCGGAGGATATAACGGGTTGCTGGGGCTCCGCCTCGAAGTGCATGAGTAGGAACGGGGTGGTTTTTAGTCAGTAAGAGTCTGACACTCCCTCTCGCCTTAACCAAGACGGAAGAAAACATTGGATGGCTTTCGCCCCTCAAAAAAAGAGACACCGAAATGACCGGTTTTTCTGAACTTTTCGGATGAATTTTAAAAAAATTTCAAGGGAATTATGGTTTCATATTTAAACTATATACCATTTCACATGCCAAGCAAAGACAGAGCTATATCTATTGACACTTCACACACACATAAGCAAACCAAACACCATTTTAACACAACACAATCTAACTTACTCTATCAATTTATCTAGATTTTTGAACCACATCCCAGCATCTTGATAGTTAAAATCATCTCCCATTGTAATCAATATATTTTTGGACAAGTAATGCTTCGACATGGTCCCACATATTGATAGGAAATCTTGCACCTGTTCAGAATTTTCATTTTTAAGACTTTGACTGCCAATAAAAAACCTGTTGAAGGTAAATCCTCCGCTAACGCCGGTCACCGGTGACCCCCATGGCGTTTAACGTGTTAATATTGTTTTCTAAGGTATTAAGTTCGCCACAGACTCCCGAACCACCGTATGTACTACTAGACGAACGACAGGGCGCCACCCTTATATGGTGGACAATCCACCCATTCGCACGAAGCGTTTTACATCAAGCTTCCTTATGCGAACCGCAAAAGAATGGAATTCCTTGCCGGAATCTGTGTTTCCCGAAAATATGACTTGGGTATCTTCAAGTCCCGAGTGAACAGGTTGCTCATAGGTAGGCGTGCTCCATCGTCGGCCACATCATCGCTTACCACCAGGCGAGATATCACCAAACGTCGACCTATCGAATAAAAAAATACTCCCGTGCACCAGGATCTACAGTAGATACAACCATGCAAACACCGGAACACTGAAGTCCAACGTCCCAGGGACATGAATAACTGTCTTGGTTCCCGTAACGATATGATTTACAAGATATTATAAGAGGAGACAAAAAAACGATAGTTTCCACTTCCCTCGGTGAATTACTGCAGGAGACAATGAATTAAGCCTAAAGACACAAAAAGAGACTGTACAACTGGGTGAAGCCCAGTCGCCAAGCACCACGGAAATTTGACTAAAAACTAAGTGGGTCCTATGTGTGAGCTGTTATACTTGGTTCCAATAATAGGCATGGCAAAAGCGCCTAAACGCACGGAAATTTGTTCTAGACTCCACAAAGTCCGTATAATAAGCTACACCTGACGAAACAATTAAATTATTTAACATAGTGTTACGTTCATATTGCCAGAGACCACGCTCCCAAAATATGTCATAGGCGGACTACTGGACTGCTGCGAATATTGTCAGTCAGTCCGGCTTTTGAAAATTGTCGCCTGTGTTGTGTGTTCGTATACCATCATTTTCACATACACATCACACACATACACTGACCTACTACTAGTGAATCACATAAAGAATTTTCCGTATACGAATGTATGTACTATATGAAATGAAGTATATGAAAAAAATATAACGAGTTTTTATATCACGCCTTTTATCCTTGGAGGGTGCACATTCCGGCACTTAATGCCACTGAACAATGTAAGACCAACTTTTCACTATTTATGTTATGAGTCCCATGTAATAGGGGGTGAGCCTATTGCCATAATACCGGGCACAATACTACTGAGAATTTAGTTTTCAATACAATTTCTATTTGTGTTATTAATTGCTTGGCGATAGAACTATTGATAGGAATTCTTAAACTTAAATTGATTTCTTAGTATGTAATTTTAAGTTATTAAGCTAAAAATATTATTGGCATTCTCCTCTTTGAAATTCTCTAAAAAAAAACATGTTTTTAGAAACTTAATCTACAACAATAGGGTAGTTTCCTAAATTTTATTTGAATGTCCGTCTGGTACATTAATTTAAAACTCTAGACACGTATTTTGTTTCTCACAAAATTAAATACTTTCGACGATATATTAATTTGAAATATCGTGTGACGTCACATTTTGTAGCACGTTATGACGTAACGACGAAGTCCTAAACTTAGCGCCATTTTATCTAAGTATTGCAACTTAATACGACAAAATAAAAAAAACGTGTCTAATATTTTTTCATTATCTAACTGACGGACTAATTAGATTTTTAATTTTGATACCATGGAAACTACCCAATTGTTAATGTAATTATAATGATACATTCATACCTTAGTTTCAACATTATACAGCGGCGAGCTAGCATCATCTATGATCGGTTCATCTGAGCATAACACATCGAAACAGAAGCCGGGAGGCGGAGAGTATGTATTGTAGAGGACCCCAGTAAATATATCTGATGATTTGCCTGCAAATATAATGTAACATGTCGTTATGTGACGAGTAATTACGTGACGTTTCATTATGTGAAGTGTCGTTATGTGAAGTGTCGTTATGTGACGAGTCATCATTTGACGTGCCGTTTGTTATATGACGTGTCGTTATGTAACATGTCGTTATGTGACGTATCGTTATGTTACATGTCGTAATGTGACGTATCGTTATGTTACATGTCGTTATGTGACGTATCGTTATATGATGTGACGCGAAGTTATAACAAGACCTAGTGTTTTAATCGACTTAAAAAAAGAAAGAAAAACAGTTAGACCTGAATGTCCGCGATTATCTCGCAATTAGTTAAACCGATTTTTTGTGGTTTTTAAAAATGTGTTTTTTACACCTAGGAGCAGGTTATAGTATATTAACCTGGGCTCGCTGCCATTGCAGCGGTAAGACCCCTCTTTGAGGAGTGGCTTGAGAGACGCTACGGCGTCCTCACCTACCGCCTGACGCAGGTCCTCACCGGACATGGAAGTTTCGGGAGGTACCTGTATTGTATATTAACCAGCTAAACTTTTTTTTTAAACTGCATTCACAAAATGCGACGTCAACCTCCGTTTTTTGGTCGGTCCATAGTATACTAAAACAAATACGATTCCGAAAACCACATCGAAATCAATTCAACTCATCCCAAGATAATCATGGACAAACATACATACATATAATTATATATATATATAGGTCAAACTGTGTGGGCGAGCCATGCTTCGGCATTGCTGGGCTGGCTCGACCGGAGTGATACCACCAACGAGCAGACAACCGACGTGAAGCAACGCTTGCGTTGTGTTTCGTCGTATGAGTGAGGTTACCGGAGGCCCAATTACACTCACCCTCTCCTTCCCCAATCACCCATGAATCCCCAACAATCCTCAAATTCCTAATCCCGAAAAGGGCGGTAACGTACTTGTAACGCCTCTGGTGTTCCAGGTGTCCATAGGCGGCGTCGATTGCTTACCATCAGGTGATCCGTCTGCTCGTTTACCGGATTATGCCATAAAAAATGCTAAGAAACTCCTTCTCATTTTTAATATTTGTGTGATTTAACTGAACGGTTGGTGCGGTGGCTGAGCAACCGGCTGCCGGCACGGAACGGAACGGAAGGAAGGAACGGAAGCCGGCACGGAACTACAAACTGCTGATCACACAAAGTGTGATCAGCAGTTTGTTGTTCCGTGTCTGTGTGTGATGTGTATGTGAACTTGTATGTTTGTAAACGGACACACGACACAGAATAAAATCCTAATGTGGGGCAATGTTTTTTTTTTTTAATAAAAGAGATCGGCTAAAAATAATAGTAAAAAAATCAAAACTCACCTAAAACATCGTCTCCTCTCCAGACCATCTCCATATTTTTACCTAATAATCTAGACCTTTTATCCTGGTAGTCTATCCTGCCGAGGAATAGCCCGTCATACCCCATCATAGACAATAGGTTGGCAAATTCTCGGGAATGACCGAAAGGATCGATTTGCCACCCAACGTGCGGCCAACCGCATTGGCCGAACGTGTGATTTAGCTTTCTGAAATAACAAAAACATAATACATATATTTATCTTGGTAAAACTAAAGTAAAACATACGGTCAAAGGTCAAAAGTCCACTGCCACCGTAACACTACTATCGGTTATACACACATCCACACGCATATTTGTATCCGTGTACGTACGCGTGCGTGTGTGTATGCGTGTGTATGCACATTAATATGAAATTACTTGCGCATTGCCGTGTGAACATCACTCACGGTGGACTTATGACCTTTAACTGTACATAACATAACGCCTTTTATCCCTGAAGGGGTAGGCAGAGGTGCACATTATGCCACTGTACAATGTAACACTCACTTTTCACTATTTATGTTATGAGTCCCATGTAATAGGGGGTGAGCCTATTGCCATATACCGAGCACAACTCCAGACTCCGTGCTACTACTGAGATTTTTAAAAACCCAGTAATACTTTGCCCGACCCGGGAATCGAACCCGAGACCCCTTGCCCGGCAGTCGCACTTGCGACCACTCGGCCAACGAGGCAGTCAAAAAAAATATATAGATTATAAAACATCACGCTCTGATCAATGGGAGCCTGGCAGAAGGTGAAACCATGTGCAGCTGGAAAATAATAAAGAGTAAAGTTACTCACCGCAATCCCCAAGTGAACTGGTCGATGGTGCTCTGGTAGTGGGAGGCAGCTTCATCATTCATACTCCAGGCTCCTCCAACCATCTGCAGGCGTCCCTGTCGTACCAGGACATGGACCTTCTGCTGAACACTCGCGGGCTGACGGACCCACCACTTCCAGAAGAATGCCGTTTCTACATAAATGAATCTGCGAAAAGAAATTTAAACATTTTTTATGGCATAAGCCGGTAAACGAGCAGACGGATCACCTGATGGTAAGCAATCGGCGTCGCCTATGGACACCTAGAACACCAGAGGCGTTACAAGTGCGTTACCGGCCATTTGGGGATTAGGAGTTTGAGGATCGTTGGGGATTCAGGGATTGGGGAGATTGGGGAAGGGGAGGGTAATTGGGCCTCCGGTAACCTTACTCACACGACGAAACACAACGCAAGCGTTGCGTCACGTCGGTTTTCTGCTCGGCCGTGGTATCACTCCGGTCGAGCCGGCCCATTCGTGCCGAAGCATGGCTCTCCCACACTTATACTTATATTATGTTTATGTCGTGGTGGCTTGAAGATTAAGACGCCCGCTTCTCATGCATGAGGGTGCGGACTCGAAACCTACCAACGGCAAGTACCAATGTGACTTTTACCGAGTTATATGTACTTTCTAAGACTATTTAGACACCACTGACAAACGGTGAAGGAAAACATCGTGAGAAAACCTTTTTTTTTAAGTGGGGAAAATCATCGAATGACTTCTCCCGCCTTAGGTTGGCGAGAGGGAGTGTCAGAGTCTTACTGACTAAAAACCACCCCGTTCCTACTCCTGCTCTTCGATCCGGAGCCCCGGCAACCCGTTAGGCCTTCCGCGGCTCCGTATCGGGCATCAGCCCTACTGGGCCCAATCTATATCGTGAGGGAACCTGGGTTTATAATTTCTAATTAGTCTATTGGTTTCTATTTATTATATTCTGCCCTGAGAATGGAAGAAGCCAAATAGGCATGGCGACTATTTTTTAATTTTTTGTCGTCTTTTAGATATTTTAAAAATCTTCGATACGTATTTTTTCTTTTTTCTCGTATCCAAAAAAACATGTAGATATTTTGAGTTAAAATGACGCGTGACGTCACAATTAGGTACGATTTCTCCGTAAGTGTGACGTCAACACCCCCCACTCCCTTACTTTAATGCGGAATAACTACGTATTCTTCTGTTAATTTGATAAAACAAAAAATACGTGTCTGATATTTTCGTGCGATCTTAATGACGGACTAATTACTTTTTTGATTTTTTTACCCTGTCGACACGCCTATTGTGCCGACTAGAAGTAACTCGGTATAAGGACAGGAAGATAAAGTGGTTAAACGTTTAACCGTACCTTCTCTTAGGAGATTCCCATAGCTCTTTCACGACCGAATCCAGAATGTACTGAACTCCAGCCTTCTGAATATTGTTTCTACCTGAAATTATTAAATTCGCAATTTTACTCAAATGAAAAACATAACATAACAACACGCCTCCTTTTATCAGGTAGGCAGAGGAGCACATTATACCACTGTATGGCCATTCCATAGTTTTGCTGTGTGAGGCAGAAAGCTACGTGAGAAGCGCACAGTAGTGGCCTGCCAACCATCTATATGGTGGGGATGTATATGCTGTCGTGAGGGTCGATGGCGAAAAGATGCGGCAAGTATCAGGTCAAACAATTCCTCAGAGCACTGCCCGTGGTAAAGCGATAGATAATAATAATAATAATAACCCCCCTAAGGGGCCACCTTGACGTGGTGGGGGGGCTTACGGAAGGCATGAACTACAATTAGGTCACTAAGAGCTAGACCCACCCTTTAACGGAGATACAAATATTATAGCCACTAACACCTCGGCGATACCCTTCCAACTAACGGCCTCAATCACCAATGCATTTGATCCAGTCACAGGCCAAATGTATTATTTTCCTAATTTTCCCTGTCATTTCCTCAGTCTATATTTGACCTTGACTTTAACTCTTTCTTCTTTCTACTTATTTTGTCGCGATATCTACCCTTGCCCATACCTCATTAAAAAAAAAAACCCTCTCATATATATGCGATGCGACTAAGAAGTAGAGTAATACCCCAGGCGGGTACCGGAGTTAGCAACGATGGAGAATCCCGCCCCGGGCCTTCCAGCCCGGGCTGCCCTTCGTACTCTGGGGAGGGCACCGTATCGCAAGCTGCCCAGTCACAAGCTGTTGCAGCACAACATGCTCAATCGTCAACATGTTCTTCACCAACATCATCATTATTTTCATCCGTCCCCTCATCACCAGCATCATATCTTAACAATCAACAATCCAGCTCAACCAATTCATCCCCATTATCATTTCATTCCGCCAGGGACGTTGTGCAGGAGGCTACCTCAGCTGAAATTACTGCACCCGCCCAAGGTGGACGGCGCACACGTAAAACGTGGACGAAAGAAATGAACATTTTCATCATGCGCCACTATTACATCCTCACTAACCTCGAACTTAACACTAAAACTTATCTAACACCATTACACGCACGTTTCACAGCAGAATTCCCCGACATGAATGCTTCTAAACAAAGAGTAGGTGATCAGCGCCGTGCTATCGTTCGTCGCAACTTACTCACAAAACAAGAAATCATAAATATAAAGGACCAAGTTAAAATTGTATTACAACATCAACCAACCGCATCTCTAATTACAACAGACACTGATCAAACCCATTCTCGTAGAATGAGATGGACTGACGACTTAAATGAAACCATTATGAGAAGCTATTACCGACTAACAAATCTTGAAGCAGATCTTACCTCATACAGACCATTATTACACCAAGACGTCATTTCAAAATGCCCCTCTATTGCACATCTTTCTGCACAACGAATTTCGGATCAACGCAGATCCATTGTCAATAATCAACTCTTATCCACAGATCGATTAAATCAAATTAGAGAAGAAGTTAGAAATGAAATGGCTTCCTCTAATACTGATAATCTTGACCACACAATAACACATCAAAGAGTACACGAACCAGTAACACAGACAACAATTACCACTGATGAGCAAACTGAAAGCACAGCGATAACAAACACCAACGAGCAAAATATACCAGTAGCACAAAACACCATACACTTTCCAAATGAATTAATTGAACAATTAGAAGAAATGTACATAGACCACTTTAGTAAATTTAAAGACTCCGACCCAACAAATAGACCATACATCCCTAAATTAAAACCTTCCAAGAAACTTGCAGCAATTATTAGTTATCTTAATAATAATATACTTCCAAAGACACTGACCCCGGATACAGATTTCCGTACACTACAGACTTCAATTTATTGTGCAGCATACACTGCAGCTAAGTTCAATGGTGCCAGAGTCAAAGAAATAAATAATAGACCTATTAGTCAATCTGAAAAAGTACCGTGGTGGCAAAAACGATTAGAAAGTAGGATTAGGGATCTCAGAGCCAATATAGGGAGACTTTCAGAATATGCAAAAGGTGTTCGGTCGGAAGCCCTAGAAAAGCATGTAACCAACATAAAACAAATATACAAAATACACACTCGACATGAAACAGAAAACACTGATATAGCACATTACTTAGACACTTTAAAACAAAAACTTAATACTCTAGCAAGCAGATTAAGAAGGTATAAGGAGACGACGAATAGAAAAACACAAAACAAACAGTTCTCTAATAATGAAAAATTATTTTATAGAAAATTAACCCAGCAAAACAATAATCCACAAGAGAATAACATACCACTACCAAGCCCCGAATCACTACACACATTTTGGTCTAACATATGGTCAAATCCAAAACAACATCAGCTAAACAATTGGATTGAGGACGACAAACAAAACTGGACAGATATACCAGAAATGACATTTGAGCAGATTCATTTACACCTCTTACAAAGAGTTATAGCTAGGACACACAACTGGAAAGCTGCGGGCTCCGACAACATTCACAACTTCTGGTATAAGAAGTTAACATGCACACACACTATTACTCAAACACATCAACACGTTCATACAATCACCTGACACAATGCCACCATACATCACGCAAGGCACCACATATATGTTACCAAAAGATCTGACAGACACTGCTAACCCCGCTAAATACCGACCTATTACTTGCCTCCAGAACATTTACAAAATTATTACATCATGCCTAAGTGAAACAATATACAAACATACACAAGAACATAGTATACTAGCAGAGGAACAAAAAGGGTGCCGTAAGAATAGCATGGGATGCAAAGAACAACTGACTATAGACGCCGTAGCTTCCAATCAAGCATTGAAACAAAAACGCGACATACACACCATGTACATAGATTACAAAAAAGCCTTCGACTCCGTACCGCACTCTTGGTTGATACATATTCTCAAACATTATAAAATTCATCCTGTAATTATCCAATTTCTAGAAAAATCATGCCCTCCTGGAATACCAAACTAAAACTGTGTAACTCAAATCAAAGCATTGAAACAGACTTCATTTCTATAAAAAGAGGTATCTTTCAAGGTGATGCGTTGAGCCCCTTATGGTTCTGCCTAGCCCTTAACCCACTCTCTAACATGTTAAACAAACACAATATTGGATTCATAATTAAACACAACTCAGAAAGTACAAACCTCACTCATCTCATGTACATGGATGATATAAAACTATTCGCTAGCACTCTCAATGAAATACACACCCTCGCTGACATCACACAAACATTTTCAAATGACATCTGCATGGAATTCGGAATAGATAAGTGTAAAATTCAATCAGTCATCGGTGGAATAGCTGAACCTACAATGTACGAACTAGGAAATCAAGAAATCATAGAATCAGTAGACCCTGACGAGGGATATAAATACCTAGGTTATTCCAGTCAAAAGAAATTCACCATAAAAACACCAAAAAGATACTACAACAAAATTTTCGAAACAGACTTCAAAATACTACACACCCATCTTAATGCAAAAAATACCATTAAAGCAATAAACACTTTCGCTATTCCTATACTGACTTACTCTTTTGGTATCATTCGATGGACACAAACAGACCTCACCACACTTCAAAGAATTATCAACACCACAATGACAAAACATAGGAAACATCACCCCAGGGCATGCATTCAAAGGCTAACGCTGCCTAAAATTGAAGGTGGTAGAGGTCTTATCGACATAACAAATCTTCACAATAACCAAATAACACTACTTAGATCATTCTTCTTCAAGCGCTCACAACACTCACCACTACATAAAGCCATATGTCAGGCAGACTCATTCACGCCACTTTATCTAGCAAACCACACAAAACAAATGACCATAATCAGCAAAGAGCAGAAGATACAGACTTGGACGCAAAAATCGCTCCATGGCCGTCATCGTCTCGACTTAACCAACCCTATTGTTGACAAGATAGCGTCAAACGCATGGTTAAAGCGAGGCGAGCTGTTTCCAGAAACAGAAGGCTTTATGTTAGCGATCCAAGATCAAGTCATAGACACCAAAAATTATAGGAAATATATAATCCGAGACAGTACCCTTGGCAGTGACCATTGCAGACACTGCCACAGACAACCAGAAACAATTCAACACATTACAGGCGCATGCTCATCCATCACACAAACAGACTACAAACACAGACACGACCAGGTTGCAGCTATCATACACCAAGCACTTGCACACAAACACAAACTCATTGCAGAAAAAGCACCATACTACAAGTATACACCCCAAATCATCCTAGATTCACCTGAATTTAAAATGTACTGGGACAGAACCATACTCACCGATAAAACCATTCATCACAACCGGCCTGACATCACGCTTCACGACAAGAAGAACAAAACAGTATACCTAATAGACATAGCGATCCCCAACACACATAATCTCAGTTCCACCCATACTAACAAACTTTCCAAATATGCAGACTTGACTATTGAACTTAAAACCCAGTGGCAAGTCCACACAGTCAAAACAGTTCCTATTATTATATCTAGTACAGGCGTCATCCCCAAAACACTTCATACAAGTCTAAAGTCCCTTGACTTACATCCACTTACATTCACACTTCTACAAAAAGCTGTCATACTTAACACATGCCGAATTGTCAGGAAGTTTTTATCTATTGATTAATTATTATAAAATCATCATCTCCAAGGTTGCTTTGGCCACAAGCCCGCAACTCTGGTGTATTTCCCCAGAAATGGGTGAGGTTCTTACCTAAAACACAAAAAATAATAATAATAATAACTCTTTATTTCAGACTCTAAGATCCATAGTTACATGCACAATATTTATAAATACAAATATAATTATAAAATATAACAAAAAAAAAAAATTGATAATTGTAGGTATATGTAAATAAACTAATTAATAACATAATAATAGGAGGAAAAAAAAAATATGCAAATTAGGTGACCATAGCCAACCATCGTCTGTACGTTGCAGTCAAATGCAGGCGGTCAGCCAAACTCGTAACAATACCATTCTTAACATGCCAACTCTGGATATAAAGGAGGCTATCCTTTTGCGCTGTATGGCATTAAAGGTGTCAATACGAGCATCAAAAAACATCCCCGAAGCACTGCAACCTCTCGGTAGTCCCATGAGTTGCCTGTAGACGTTGTTGTATGTGACTCTGATGGCATTGTGCGATTTTTTTGTATAATTAGTCTAGAGTTGACACGTGTAGAACGTCTGACAAAATGATTTAAACAGTGTTACTTTCACGTCAGGCGCTGCACTACAAAATTTTCTGGCGATCATATTGCCCACTACGCACAGAGCACGTCTCTGTCGCTCTATATCCTCATCATCTTTCAGGTTGGAGGTTACAATGTGACCCAGGTACCTGAAATGCTGAACAACTTTCACAGTATGCCCATTTAAGCGCAGCTCCGGCACATTTCGGGCCCTGTCTCGATCCAAAGACGACCATTTCCGTCTTCCTTACGTTGTATGTAAGATCGTGCTCTCGCATACCCTCTCGCAAACTTAACTAGCCTTTGCGCCCTTGATCGTAGGACTGAGCAGCACCATATCGTCGGCATAGCTCAGATTGTTGACATATCTGCCATCCAATCTCAGTCCGACGGGTGTACCGCTCAGTTCCACGACCAAATCATTAACATAATAGTTAAAGAGGTCAGGTGAGGTCACCCCGCCCTGCCTCACACCACATGACAGTCTGTATGGATCCGACATTTCAGTGTCCCATCTGACGCTGTTGGTCTGATTACTATACCAGTATGCCATCAGACCAACAACCTCAGGGAACTTCCGACCCGTGCAATTTTGACCATAGAAGGTCATGATTTATCGTATCAAATGCACGGCTCAGGTCCAAAAAACATGCGTAGACTGTGGTATCGTTCTCGGTGTAATACCTAACAACCTCCTTAAGCGAGAAAATAGCAAGGTCGGTCGATAGTTTAGGCCGAAAACCAAACTGGCCATCATCAATACCCAACTTTGTGATGTGTGCATGAAGAGCTCGCTCAAGGATCCTGGCTGCAATCGTCGCCAAGGAGATGGGTCTATAGTTGGACACGCTCGAGATATCACCAAATGCACCAATAATGCACAATGAAGCTACATCTCTACGCATTGCCAAAGTGTCTAGCCGATTTGAAACATCCCGACATTAAACATACAAATCGTGAGACATACTAAATTAACTAAAAATCGCGGGTTACTCACGTGAATATACTGAGAAAAGCTCTACTAGTTTCGAACCACAGAGGGGTTCTTCCTCAAGAGCGCGCGGTCGCGGCGATGTCTACAGCCTAGTGTCTTTTTTTTAAGGGGGGATAATCATCGAATGACTGCTCCCGCCTGGGTGAGGCGGAAGGGAGTGTCAGACTGTTACTGACTAAAAACCACCCCGTTCCTTCTCCTGCACGTCGAGCCGGAGCCCCGGTAACCCGTTAGGTTCTCCGCGAACAGCCTATTGACTAGCGTTCGCGCTCGCATCGGTGTTGCTACTTACACTGCTAGCCCACCGCGCCCTCTGCCGGACACCACGAGCGGCGCGTGCGCACATGTTGAAGCGAACGCTACGTTCACCAGCGTGAACCTCTTTAGTTCGAAACTAGTAGAGCTTTTCTCAGTATAGAGGTATTCACGTGAGTAACCCGCGATTTTTAGTTAACATACAACCCGCATTAATATTATTAAAAGTAAGATGTATCGACATACTTCCGTAGTAATATTGGTCAACGGTTTTTAACCATCCGACGTCGTCGTGTGTGTGCGGCACTATATGTACGTTCAGCATATCAGGAGAAGTAGCCTGGCAGCTCTGGAATCGAAGAAACAAAGAAAAAATCTTTAGTTCATACACTAAAAACAAGTGGCATGTTTTTGTTTTTTTTTTATATATATAGCACTAGCTTTTACCCGCAGCTTCGCTCGCGTCACAAAAGGATAAAAAGTAGCCTGTGTGACATACCAATACACATAGCGCCATCTATACCAATTCTTTTGTTTTCCCTCGGGAATATCAATTTTTTCCGGGATTAATAGTACCCTATCATTTAATCCAGACTTCGAACTATACGTCTGCAAAATTTCAAAGCAATCAGTTCCGTAGTTACGACGTGAAAGCGGAACAAACAAACTCACTTTCCGATTTATTATATTATATATAGTAAGGATAAGCCGGTAAACGAGGCGACGGATCACCTGATGGTAAGCAATCTACGCCCATGGACATTCGAAACACCAAGGCGTTACAAGTGCGTTACCGGCCTTTTGGGGATTGGGAATTTGAGGATTCGGTGCTCTGATTGGTTTGTTCGTTAGAGCCGGCCAATCACAGCGCCGAACGCATACTCGTTACGTTTACTTTAAAAGTAAAAGAAACTAGTACCAAGGCCTCTGGTCGGGCGGCGTTTAAATAACATTTGCCTACTTTCTGTTTCTATTTAGTTTTGTGATTGTTAATATCCTGTTTTAACATAACATAACTTCATGCCTTTTATCCCCGAAGGGGATCTGCCTACCCCTCATGTGCACATTATGCCACTGTACAATGTAACACCCACTTTTCACTATTTATGTTATGAGTCCCATGTAATAGGGGGTGAGCCTATTGCCATATACCGGGCACAGTTCCAGACTCCGTGCTACTACTGAGATTTTTTTTAAAAACCCAGTAATACTTTTCCCGACCCGGGAATCGAACCCGAAACCCTTTGCCCGGCAGTCGCACTTGCGACTACTCGGCCAATGAGGCAGTCCTGTTTATCCATAAACAAATAAAATACTACTACTAAATTTTGATCCGTTTTATTTAAGTATCATTTTATTATACGACAAAATAAAAAAATACGTGTCTAATATTTTTGACGTGACAACGTCTTATAAATTGGTTTGCCGGGTGACACTTCAAGAAACTGCGTTACGCTCCGCTCACGTTATGCTCTCACAATGAGAGCGAGTGAGAGGCACGCGTCCCTTCCACTCGGGCATGGTTAGCCCGCCTAAGAGCGAGAGAGACAGACATAAAAAGTGAAAGGCACGCGTCCCTTCCACTCGGGCATGGTTAGCCCGCCTAAGAGCGAGAGAGACAGACATAAAAAGTGAAAGGCACGCGTCCCTTCCACTCGAGCACAGTTAGCCCGCCTAAGAGCGAGAGAGAGAGAGTGAGAGAGATAGGCATACACACCGGTTCATGTCTTGCGCTTCATTATTTCATCCTTCTTCCTACTATACGAATGAATATTCACATTAAAATTATTTTACCACTTAAAGTCGTTGTCACGTAAAACTTTCGCCCGTATACCGACTTTATTTCACTATCTAACTGACGGACTAATTAGATTTTTAATTTTGATACCCTGTCATCATTAATATTTTTAAATATAGAAATTTATTCCTCAGATAAAATGTATCTGGCTATAGAAAAATCGACCTTAAGTACTTTAAAATTTAATGTAACTAGGCAATCTATAAACGAACTTAAATGTAATAAACAAATAAAGCATACAATTGTGTAGCAGGCGGTAAACAGCACGTCATCCTTCTCATTTCGATCAAATTTCTTTATTAGATTTCAACTTTATCGTTTAGTTGTAAAGTCTATAATCCAATGAGAAAAATTTACACATTAGCGTGGATTGATGTGTAAGCCACAGTACATGTTATCGAAGTGTAGAGGTCACGGTATTATCAATAAGTTATTGTTTATATTGTTCTTAGTTATTAACTGTGCTGTTTAAACAAATATGTTTTGATTTTAATGTGGGAGAGCCATGCTTCGGCACGAATGGGCCGGCTCGACCGGAGTGATACCACCAACGAGCAGAAGACCGACGTGAAACAACGCTTGCGTTGTGTTTCGTCGTGTGAGTGAGGTTACCGGAGGTCAAATTACCCCTTCCCAAATCTCCCCAATCCCTGAATCCCCAGCAATCCTCAAAAGGCTAGTAACGCACTTGCAACGCCTCTGGTGTTCAGTGTGTCCATGGACGACGCCGATTGCTTACCATTAGGTGATCCGTCTGCTCGTTTACCGGCTTATTCCATAAATAAGTCTCTCTTAAATTAGGACACAACCCTATTACAATAGAGTACTTTCCTTAATCAAAAAATAAATTATTTCGACTGTAAGTTCAATACAATAAAATATTAAAAAATAATCACACTTTCATTTATTGATTTTATGACCAACTTAATTTTAGTATTTTTCCAGCATTTATTTAAGATACGAGTATGCTGTTTGACGCTAAAAAAACGTGACGTCACAATACACAATCTCATACAAAATTCATAGAAAACTGTCGTTTTTGACAGTTCGAAAAAAGTATTGAATTTGAATAACTAGTCAAATTTGAAATTTGAAAAATTTGCCAACTGGCAAGTATCCCATTAGAAGAAGATGATATTAAACTGTCAAACACCGCGAGGACACCGGTGACCGCAACCTATTGTTCTTTAATTGTGTCTATAATGACGGTGCTCAAAGAGTTCATTCACTACTTACATCATATCCACATTTCTCTGAGTTGGAGAGGTACAACTCTTCGTGTGGCGCCAGGTGAGCGCCACCGACACACAGGAGAAGCAGGAGGAACTGCATTATATCCTGAAAACAAAGAACACCATGATTATCTCCTACTAATATTATGTTTATGGTCGTGGTGGCCCGGAGGTGTAAGACGCCCGCTTCTCATGCGTGAGGGTGCGGGCGACACCTACCAACGGCAAGTACCAATGTGCCTTTTTCCGAGTTATATGTACTTTCTAAGATTATCTAGACACCACTGACAAACGGTGAAGGAAAATCTCGTTAGGAAACCTGGGCTTATAATTTCTCATTATAAGTTTGTAATCGCCAACCCGCATTGAGCAAGCCTTCTTCGTGTGAGAAGAGGCTTTGCTTAGCAGTGGGCATTTATGGGCTGTTGATTAATTATGTTTTTATGGAATAGGAGGCAAACGAGCAGACGGATCACCTGATAGTAAGCGATCAGCGCTGCCCATGGACACCCGAAACACCAGAGGAGTCACAGGTGCATTGCCGGCCTTTTAAAAATGAATACGCTCTTTACTTGAATGTTTGAAGGTAAATAGAATGTATGTTTGTATGTATTCATATGTATGTAGTAAAAGCCGGTTATTTCTATATTACAAACAGAAAGAAAGAAATAACAAGAAGAAGAACCTACTGGGTCCCATTTGATGTGGTCTAACCACACAGCTAACAGCAAGAAATTGTATATCTATCAATTTATACTTCTACTAGCGGACCCAACAGACGTTGTCCTGCATATCCCCTTGAATGTATAAACAAAAATTTATTCAAATAAGTTCAGCTGTTTAGGATAACTAACCCAAACATCGACTGCAACGCCATCTGCCGGGCTGATTTGTGAATCTAAACCATTCCCAGATCCCCTTGAACACACACAAAAAATTTCATCAAAATCCGTCCAGTCGTTTGAGAGAAGTTCAGTGACATACACTCACAGATAAATTATATATATAAAGATTTATTTATGCCTGGCTCGTTGGCTGAGTGGTCGCAAGTGCTACTGCCTGGCAAGAGGTCTCAGGTTCGATTCCCGGCTCGGGCAAAGTATTACTGGGTTTTAAAAAAAATTCTCAGTAGTAGCACGGAGTCTGGAATTGTGCCCGGTATATGGCAATAGGCTCACCCCCTATTACATGGGACTCATAACATAAATAGTGAAAAGTGGGTTACATTGTACAGTGGCATAATGTGCACCTCTGCCTGACGCTTTGGGGATAAAAGGCGTGATGTTATGTTATATACAAACAGACAATTTTATTTACCTATATAGATATGTATAGAATGTGATGTAAAAGAACTCAAGGAGATACTTTAGTGTCATTGACATATAGTGTAAACATGATTGACGCCTACTTATATTTATCACTACATAATATAAAACAAAGTCGCTATCCGCCGTCTGTCTGTCCCTATGTATACTTTTTTTAAGGGGGGAACATCATCGAATGACTGCTCCCGCCTGGGTGAGGCGGAAGGGAGTATCAGACTCTTACTGACTAAAAACCACCCCGTTCCTACTCCTGCACTTCGAGCCGGAGCCCGGTAACCCGTTAAGTCCTCCGTGGCTCCGTAGTCACCCAATGTTGATGAAGATTTTTTATAGCATAAGCCGGTAAACTAGCAGACGGATCACCTGTTGGTAAGCTATCGGCGTCGCCCATGGACACACGGAACACCAAGGCGTTACAAGTGCGTTACCGGCCTTTTGGGAATTTGTATTTTTGAGGATTGTGGAGAATTCGGGAGACGGGGATTAGGGAGGGTGGTAATTGGGCCTACAGTAACCTCACTCACACGACGAAACACAACGCAAGCGTTGCTTCACGTCGGTTTTCTGTAAGGCCGTGGTATCATTCCATTCGTGTCGAAGCATGGCTCTCCCACACTTATATGACACTTTTTCCTCAGCAATATGAGGCTACAGTAATTATAGAAAGTCTCCTAATTGTCTATTGACCTGGAACATAATTGATACCGAACCGATACAGTTACCATGGTCTGATAGTATATATTCAATGGGTTCACATATCATATACTAGCGCCCGCGACTTCTGCCGCATTCCTGTGGAATTTAAAGTGCCCATGTGTTATCCCAGACCATATCTATCCCTGTTTCAAATTGTATCTCAATCCCTTCAGCCGTTTTGGCGTGATTGAGTAACAAACATACAGACAAACAGACAAACTTTCGCATTGATAATATTATTAATAAGATTAATCATACATAATATTACATCATGCCTTTTATCCCCGAAAAATTAGATAGAGGTGCACATTACGGCACTTAATGCTACTGTACAATGTAACACCCACTTTTCACTATTTATGTTATGAGTCCCGTGTAATAGGGGGTGAGCCTATTGCCATATACCGGGCACAATTCCAGACTCCGTGCTACTACTGAGAATTTTTAAAAACCCCAGTAATACTTTGCCCGACCCGGGAATCGAACCCGAGACCCCTTGCCCAGCAGTCGCACTTGCGACCACTCGGCCAACGAGGCAGTCTGTTTTCTGTAATATACCGCGTATGACTGAACAGAGGACCAAGCACGAATAACTTTCGCATTCGTATCGTAACAGTATCGAGCGAGTTAAGCGTTCTGATTGGCCGGCTCAAGTGAACCAACCAATCAGAACGACCTCTGACCGACCGCCGCCCTCCACTCAAATGATTGATGACAAATGACGTTGCATAACCTCGGCCTAGCTCCGCACAGTTCGTTACTCCGCTCCGCAATACTCGATAGCCCGCTCCGCTGCCTCTCCGCGTCAATGGACAGGCAGCCTATAATCCGTTGCGTAGTTTTAAAGCTAGCAAGCGAGACACTAGTGACATCATAGGATATTTACAAATCGTATCGTTTGTAAATTTTTGTTTGCAACTCAAAAGAGACATAACATTGTTCATTGTTTAGAAAAACCTACGAAAATGTTACTCATACTACATCCGTACAATCATTTGTTTACTATAGTTTTTTTAGGGACAAGCCCGCCACAACCACTCAAACCGCTGTAACTTCTGTAAGCCAGGATCTACAGTAGATACAACCATGAAAACACCGGAACACTGAAGTCCAACGTCCCAGGGACATGAGTAACTGTCTTGGTTCCCGCAACGAAGTGAATCAGAAGATATTATAAGAGGAGAAGAAAAAAAACGATAGTTTCCACTTCCCTCGGTAAATTACTGCAGGAGACAGAATGAATTAAGCCTAAAGGCACAAAGAAGAGACTGTACAACTGGGTGAAGCCAAGTCGCCAAGCACCACGGAAATTTGACTAAAAACTAAGTGGGTCCTATGTGTGAGCTGTTATACTTGCTTCCAGTAATAGGTATGGCAAAAACGCCTAAACGCACGGAAATTTGTTCTAGATTCCACAAGGTCCGTATAATAAGCTACACCTGACGAAACAATTAAATTATTTACGACGGGCGACGCCGATTGCTTACTATCAGGTGATCGGTCTGCTAGTTTACCAGATTATACCATGAAAAAAACACGCTACAAGCTCACGACGTGGTTTTCACTCGCGCTCGCCGCGGTGGCTGAATGGAGATTTATTCTGTGGTAACGCAGCCACCGCGCTTGCGATTATCGCTAAAGACTTGGCGGTTGATTATCGCAAGACGGGCGGGCGGTTAAACAATTATTTGGGTTTCAAACCGGCCCTCCTATTGCGATCGCCCGCCAACCGTATGCAGAACGCGCGGTTGCAACCCGCTGCAGCTGCGGTACCGCGCCGGCACCTGACGCCGCAACGGGAGCCCCAAACAAACACACACGCCGCGGCCGTATAACGTGTCGTGAAATGCGCTTCAATTTTTAACATACATACATACTGTCAAACACCGCGAGGACACCGGTAACCGCAACCTATTGTTCTTTAATTGTGTGTATAATGACGGTACTCGAAGGGTTAAACTGTCATACACCGCGAGGACACCGGTGACCGCAACCTATTGTTCTTTAATTGTGTCTATAATGACGGTACTCAAAGAGTTAAACTGTCAAACACCGCGAGGACACCGGTGACCGCAACCTATTGTTCTTTAATTGTGTCTATAATGACGGTACTCGAAGGGTTAAACTGTCATACACCGCGAGGACACCGGTGACCGCAACCTATTGTTCTTTAATTGTGTCTTAATGACGGTACTCAAAGAGTTAAACTGTCAAACACCGCGAGGACACCGGTGACCGCAACCTATTGTTCTTTAATTGTGTCTATAATGACGGTACTCAAGGTTAAACTGTCAAACACCGCGAGGACACCGGTGACCGCAACCTATTGTTCTTTAATTGTGTGTATAATGACGGTACTCGAAGGGTTAAACTGTCAAACACCGCGAGGACACCGGTGACCGCAACCTATTGTTCTTTAATTGTGTCTATAATGACGGTACTCGAAGGGTTAAACTGTCATACACCGCGAGGACACCGGTGACTGCAACCTATTGTTCTTTAATTGTGTCTATAATGACGGTACTCAAAGAGTTAAACTGTCAAACACCGCGAGGACACCGGTGACCGCAACCTATTGTTCTTTAATTGTGTCTATAATGACGGTACTCAAAGAGTTAAACTGTCAAACACCGCGAGGACACCGGTGACCGCAACCTATTGTTCTTTAATTGTGTCTATAATGACGGTACTCAAAGAGTTTAAACTGTCAAACACCGCGAGGACACCGGTGACCGCAACCTATTGTTCTTTAATTGTGTCTATAATGACGGTACTCAAAGGGTTAAACTGTCAAACACCGCGAGGACACCGGTGACCGCAACCTATTGTTCTTTAATTGTGTCTATAATGACGGTACTCAAAGAGTTAAACTTGTTTTAATTCTCTACTAGCTTCTGCCCGCGACTTCGTATGCGCAATCCTGTTTTCTCCCGTTCCCAGGATTTTTTCTGCCTTAAGAACCATCTCCTGACGATAACAAACACAACACAAAATAAAACAGCCAAATCGGTCTCAATTTATGGCGTGACAACGGGAAACGGGTTTCATCACTACATAGTATAAAACAAAGTCGCTATCC